TTTAAAGTTAAGCCAGTCTGCGAATACGTTCTGAGTTTCCTAGTCTTGCTGGTTATAGTCGTTTTCCAGATAGTCCTTCCAGAGAGGTTTAAACCAGTCCTTGGCATCTCCTTGGATTAATAGTGCAGTATATAGCATCTTCTTTGCTGCAGTATCCAGTTTAGTGGGGAATAGCTTGAAATGTTCTTTTATATGGGTAAGGAATAGTAGGATGTCCGCTGCTTTCCCTTTAAACGGCTCCGGAGTCAAGGGCTTGATAATTTCTCCTAGGTTACGTCGATTATCGACAGGGTTAACCGGTGGTGCAGGCGGAGGTTATTTGTTTATTCTCCCCTGTAGGGTTCGTATAGTGTTTCTGAGCTGTTGGAGCTTAGCCATTATTTTAGCCATACTAGGAGGTAGTCCTGTGTAAGGTAGTGCCAGTCCGTTATTATTAGCGTTAATAGACATTATAACAGTATAGTAATATTGCTCAGCGTTTACGCGGTATGTTCTAAATAAGAGCTATTAATATATAATAGTTAGGTTTTCCAAGGGATAAACTAGTCCGTTCTAAGTTTATATTGGCAGAGTCGTAGGGCATGTAATACTAAGCGATTGCAAAGTGTTACATCTCTTAATAGTGAATAAGGCGGGTTAGGCATATTCAGGTAAAGATATTTAATTAATAGCTATCAAGCTAAGTATACTAACTAGTGCTAAGTGAATATATATATACTAATGTCTACTATATTAAGAGCGACGATAAGTTAGGTCGTCGTTGGTCCTGGAGCGATACAGTCCTGGAGCGCCGTCGGTCCATGTAAGTGTCAGTCTATCGTTAATTAGCCGATCTTGCGGTATAATGTGGGGAAGTGAAAAGTGAAAAAGTGGGGTATACGTGACGTAACCGCTCAGGTCGTAACACTTAACTATATAAGTCAGATTAGCTATATTACAGAGACCTAGCTAGATCTCTATAAGGATAAATTCATTAAGGCTTAGGTTAATTAATACCTTTATTTTAACTAATTTATTATATTATAATGCAAGGGTATTTATTAACTAATTAAATTATATCTTAAGACTTCCTAGCTTAACCTCTTTAAGGCATAGAGATATATTAAGCTAGTTATAATAAATCAGTTAGCTAAGCTTAATAGCAATTAGGTAAAACAGCAGGCTAGCTTTCCTTTAAAGCTATCCGGGTTAATATATAGTAATATCTATAGTTAGATATTATATAAGGCCCTTTAGCTTATTAAGTCCTAAAGATCTTAGTTATTATATAAGCTTCCTTCCTATATAAGCTTATTTAATAGAACTCTTAGGTTACTATATACTTATATAATTTAGCCCTTAATATATAGTAATTAGCTATTATAGATATATTATTTCTACTTATATTAGCGAATTTAATGCAATAGTGTTATGACCTGAGCGGTTACGTCATATGTACCCCACTTTTTCACTTTTCACTTCCCCACATCGTACCGCAAGATCGGCCAATCAACGATGGACTGACACTTACATAGACCGACGGCGCTCCAGGACCGACGACGACCTAACTCATCGTCGCTCCCAACATAGTAGACATTAGTATATATACATTCACTTAGCACTAGTTAGTACACTTAGCTTGACAGCTATCAATTAAACATCTTTACCTGAATACGCCTAACCCGCCTTATTCACTATTAAGAGATATAACACTTTGCAATCGCTCAGTATCACACGCCCTATGACTCTGCCAACATAAACTTAGAACGGACTAGTTTATCCCTTGGAAAACCCAACTGTCACATTAAGTAGATACTTTTTCTTAAATTTACTAAGCTTCTAATAGTATATATCTTTATTACTAGAGGCAATAAGATTATACTATAAGGAGTAAAACTCCTTTTACTTCTCTTGCCCTTTATAATCTTTTAAGTCCTTTATAAATATATCTATATAATACTATAGTACTGCCTTATTAATATACTATAAGCATAGTAATAATACTAACTAAGGAAAGGTAAAAGCTATAGCATTTATATAGGTAAGATACCAGTCTATAAGTATTATAGAAGGAAGGTCTATAGTTATAGCCTTATAAAGAGACTATAACTATATAAGAACCTATTAATAGTTAGCTTCTTCTTTACTACTAAGGAATGCAAATGCAATATAGAAAGACTATTAGTAAGCATTAATACTAATAGCATTAAGGAGTAGTATATTATATTTATTAGTCTTATATATATAATCTAATATTAGCACTTTAGGATAGGATTTAAAGTATTTAAGAGACTTTAAATATGCAAATAATACTGCCGTAACTCTATTATTATTAAGGCATATTTAATTCTAGAAGCCCTTGGATTTAAGCTATATTATAAGGGCATATATATTACTTTAACCTTAAATAAGCTCCTACTTACTTTATATAATATAATTATAGATATCCTTCTATATAATAAGTATTCTAGTTATATTCCTTAGATATAATATAATAACCTTTAGTATTATACCTATATTTACTAATTGCCTAACTATTAATCTATCTAGGCTTAATATCTAATAATAAGTAGGATATACTAGAGTATTACTTAGCTTATAGTTATATATATAATAACTATAATTAAGGCAATACTTTAGAGACTATATAGTCCTACTAGATTCCTCTTTAGCTATTATAGAAAAGAGGCATTCTATATAGCGTAATATAGTATTTCTCTTTTATATCTTTATTATTAAAGCAGGCTTTATGCCTTAATTATAAGTATAGATAACCCTGGTCTTTCCGCTGGAGGTCTTCTAAGAGTTCTTAACTATAAAGGCATAGCCTTAATCTTAGGCCTAGGCATTAATAGCGGTAATAAGGTCCTTTTATAAGGGAAACTTGCCTTTAAGTGGGAGGATATTATCAGGGAAGCAATTTAATATATTAATTAGATCTATTTTAAGTGCAGAATAGTATAATAGCTTTAATTTGCTTTAATTATAATATTAACCGTTGAATTGGAAGGTTTAAGTTAAGGCTACGTATGCATTATGCTATATCAAGCTTACATAAGGATATCTAGAGGCACAGCTACTGTGCCCATAAGATCACGTGGTTGAAGTCTAGAGGCACAGCCAGCTGTGCCTCTAGCGCTCGCCTTGAGTAAAAGCTTATTCCGCTGATCTTCGAAAGGTCGAGCTTGATGTACACAGTGCTGCGAGTATCCATCGATCACACTGTGTGGAGACATATATAATCCATCGGGATGTTGTGGAAGAGGAAGCTGCAAGTGCTCAATACTGTACTAGGCAGAGAATACTTGTCATTTGTCCCAGTGTCTGCAGATAACATCGATGATGGCAGGTTTTCCAGAACGTTCACCTAATCCGATGTGACACATCTCAAGCGAAACGGGTACTGTAACCGTTATTGATCAATCCTTATTGCTCCATTTTCGGCCCCCAAATTACCCCCTGTCTTTCAGGATTTACGCCCCTGCGTCAACCGTGACTAGTAACAGCTTAGGGCCTCTTTATTGGAGGGAGATAAGCTTATGGTGCAGCTTGTTATCAGCTCTTCGTCTGACGCTTAGCCCACCTATTCAATAACGCCCTTGCTATGACTGACTGGACATTAAAGCACTGACTCTTTCTCCAGAGAGGACCCCGCTCTCTCTCCTTCTCCCACAACATTTCCCTCATACATAGACCAATACTTTGGCGTGTTGCAAATACCCAACAACCTTCGTCAATTTACTAAACAATGCGTCTCTCACGGCTGATATGCCTTCTGGCAGTTCCTGGCCTGTACCTATCCACCGTCTCTGCGGTTCTTGACCGGTCTCGCTCCCAGTTCAGAACATGGTTTCCTACAATAGAAAAATATTCCAAAGAACATTGGATGAAGGAAGATTGCCCTCGACAGTTCGAGGCCTATTTCGATGAGAACCTAAAGGAAGAACCAGGTGATCACAGGTACTCAGGTGAGCTGTTGAACTGTATTCTCAATGTCTATGGAGAGGTCAACAAGGCAAACATGGCCGTCACGGCTATCCTACTGGCGCTTCTTCCCGGAGGCCTGGTACAATTCGGACCTAGCATGGCTGAGATAAGCCTCCTGAGTACCCGCAGACCACTTCTTGCCATGCTCCTGGGCTTTGGACTAATGTCACCAAACCCTACCGAGTTTGAGTACGAGGCCATCTTGGAGAAAGCCTCCAACAATAATGAGCCCCTCGTGCCCCTGCGGATTCTAGATGGGCGCTCCTTTACTGCAAAAGCTCTTGTGTCTCTTGTTGAATATGGCATCGGGTTGGCCGCGACGGGGAACCTGTTCTGGGAAGTCTATAAGTTCACATATCACGCTATATCCCTGGCCCCGATGGTCGTCTATATTCACGGTTTGCCAGAGACATCTATACTGTTTGGTTGGGCTTTTCTGAACATACCTATCTATCTGCTAAGCTTTGGCGTCTTCGCCTTGACCTTCCGCCGGACGACGCCAGGAAACAATCTTGTTAGATTGATTGTTGATGAGCTGACTCCTTGTGGCCAAGGCCGAAACCACACAATCAGGCGTCGGGATAACAGACTATTTCAACAGAACCTTCTTGGGGCAGCTGTCAGAGTGATTGGAGGTCTTCACATCATTCTCGGTACTGTTCTCATTGGTAGCATTGTTCTTATCCCTTTGGCAGACTCCCTGCCAGTTATCTACACCTTTGTATTCGCGGCTTTATTCACAAGGGCTGTCTTGGTTTACGAATTGAACGGCCTGGCGAGAAAGACAACTGTGGAGGAGAAGATGCCACGGGGAGCTGATGCCGAGGCCAAAGGTCTTCTATGCGTTAATTGCATCCCTCTGAACCAAAGGGACATAGAAGAGTAATGCAATCTCATTGAGAGGATATATAAACTATCCTTATAGACCTGGAGGAGGGATGATCTAATTGAACTTAGATAGTCTTCAGAACGTTTCCCATCAGCTGTTTTAACATCATCATTCAGTACATAAGAACTGAACCTCCTCACGTCATCTATACAAGCTCAATTGTTCTCATATCTTGAACATCAGCCCAGTATTCCATGAAGGAGAGAGATGCAAGCCCAATTCTTCTATACTCTTGGAACCTTCCCACACGGCCTGTGGGCTCCAGTATAAGCGCAACTCCTACTAATGTTTTCCCTGTAAGATCCGATAAAGGAACATGTGCTTTTCCTATTAAGAGGCAAGGGTGATGGTTGCCAATAGTCTTAATAGACCTCGCGTCATCAATGAATAGAAGCCGATCCACTGAGAACCCAGGGTCTAAAGCAGTAAGGCTTGTGACATTGTCTGTCCATTCAGCATCGGTGTTGTAGCCGAATTTGAAAATCAAGCTTGGGTCGGATAAATCTATTCCTTTGAAAATGCCACTAATAATCAATCTTGCTTGGAGTATTTGACCCGATGTCTGCGGACCATTTGCCGTGACTGACCAGGACTTGACTTTTAGCATTGGATTCCAATCGTTATTGTCCCATACGAAGAAGAATGAAACAGACCGTCTGGTAGCCCAACACCATGACGGTAGATCAGAGCCCGGGTCGGGCTCTTCCGTTTCCCGGGCCATCCAGGCCAGTCCTTCTGGAATAGCCAACTCCCATATTCCGGCGATGTAGTCCTGTGGAAAGCGGTCTTTGATCCGAGTCGCAATTCCTGACAAAGCTGGGAGCTTGTCTGTATGGAAAGAAAAGCTTGTTGAAGAGTAAATATCTATAAATTGATACCAAGATCTCATGATGTCATCTTCCTGGCGGTTATCAATGTCTTTGAAGGCAGAAATAAAGTCTTCACCTGTATCGCTATAGGCAAGAGAGTCGGTGCCGCCGGGATTCGTCTCTGTAACCCGGCTTTCATGGCATTCCCATAGCAAATAACTTGCGCCAAAGTGTAGTATCCTCTTTGATAAGACCCTTTCTTGGATGGCCCATCCCCTGGTTCGAAGAGCAGCATTTCGTATGGCCGGAGCCCATAATGGAGACGGTGGTTGAATGATAAAGACATTAGTCTCGCCCCTATTCGTGTTTTGTTTGAGAATAACCGGCTCCGGGTCAAACTCAAGTGCCGGTCTTCGTAGAAACAATCCTTCGCTGGATGATATAGCCCCGGTTGCCGCGATCGTCAAGGTGGCGTTTTGATAGTACTGGCCAAATCTAGCGGCTTCATAGGACCAATCAGCTCTATGTTGTGCATCATCTGGTCCTTCGCTTTGCAAGATGCAAAGGGCATCGACCCATAGGTATCTGATCGATAATTTCCTTGTGAATATAATGGCATCCTGTATTGTCTTTGCAAGCTTGTCCCAGGGCAAACATCTGGTCATATCATCGAGATTGGAGGCTGTAGTCTTTGCGAAGTCGTGGCCAGATCCCCATGCATAGCTCAAAGCAACATAGTTAATACCCCCAAGGGGATGAGTCGGTATTAAGAGCTTTGGGGCAAGTCCTTCGTCCTTAGAGCCAACATCAACTACTCTTGTTGGTAATGTCTCTGCTAGATGTTGATTGTCAGGAGACATACAACAGTTGGTGTGATTGGTGCAACAAGTTGCTAACCATTTTTTGGCTAATGCAACAGCCTTTTCAACGCCTTCATCTGAAGACAGATCGGCGATAGAACTCGAGGTGCGTGAATAGCGAGCTTTGACTAATGCTTCGGTTTTCTTATTCACGATCAGTGGTTCACCATGCCACACGCTACTTTCTATTGTCTTTCCGACACCTATTGACAACAACTCTGGCTTTATTGGGTCTTGACCAGGGGGAGGCAGCCGGTCGTCGCGGACAGGGCTATAAGACCATGTCTGGAGGTGAATGGGAAACGTCTCCTCTGACCAGGATACAAAGGTGTTATAGAAATATGACTGGTAGATAATTTGGCAAAGCTGGCAGTCATTCTGCGCTGATTTTCGAAGAGCATGGATGTTGGGGGCAAGGGTTTGAGCGCGGGGAAACGAGACTTTTTCTTCTGCCTCAGCAAAGTCTTTTGCGAAGCGCGAACACGCAGCACACAGACGCTGTGCCATACTGATTGGAGATTATAGTGATATTATTTGAGAGAATCAGGCTGAAATTCACATGCCACTTGCGTTCCGATTTTATACACCACTCGGAGGCTGCCAAGCACGTGATGCTTGTCAGACACGAAAAAGCCGCTGATTGGCGAGGTGAATAAGGATGTGCCATAAGGCGTTTTTTTAAATTATCATAACCTGGTTGATAAGCGAGGGAGTTATTTTTACTAGCTATTAGGTTATAACTTACCTTTAAGTTACTATAAATTACTTAATTAACTGAAACTACTCGCTATACTCCTCCCTAGAGCCCTGACTTCCTTCCTGTTAAACCTGTATATAGAAATTAATCTGTATTCTAATTGTGTTGTCTCTGTTCGCTCTCTGGCCTGACAATTTCCCCTCTTTTTAGGTATCTGTTAAACCGAAGCTACCCTGTATAAGTCGATTAGCGGTTCATTTCAGCCAAAGTAACCTTAAAAGGGTTCAAGGCAGATTTATCTGACTAAGAGAAGCTAGAAAAAGGATAGCGTAAAGCATATACCTAAAAAAAGGGGAAACTGTCAGGCTATATAGAGAACAGAGAGACAATATAATCGGAATACAGATTAATTTCCATATACGGGTTTAATAGTATCTGTCTTATACTTTTTCTTTTCTAGCTTCTCTTAGTTAAATAAATCTGCCTTTAACCATTTTAAGGTTCCTTTAGTTAAATAAACTGCTAACTAACTTATATAAGGTAGCTTTAGTTTAATATATCCCCCTAGATTAATTTAACTATAATAATTTAACTATGAATAGCTTTAATTAATATATACCTTTTTATGTTATAGATACTTAATTTTATTATAGTTACCTGGCTATTTGTTACGACCTGAACGGTTACGTCACGTGTACCCCACTTTTCACTCCTCATTACCCCACTCTAGAACATGAAGTCACCCAACCAACGTAGGACCGACACTTACATGGACCGACGACGACCCAACTCATCGTCGCTCCCCTCAGGAAACCCTTACTATATAAACATTCACTTAGCATTAGTTAGTACACTTAGCTCGACAGCTATCAATAAAACATCTTTACCTGAATACGCCTGACCCGCCATATTCACTATCAAGAGACGTGACACTTCGCATTGCTCAGTATGACGCCCTACGACATCTGCAAACATAAACCAGTTACGGACTAGTTTACCTGTTTGGAAACCTGAACGTCACAAGCTGGCGGATGCAGATGTTCATAATTAACGTCTTTCATACAGGCTGCCAGTAGCTGGCCCATTGAAACTGATTTCCTGCCAGATATATAATCAGTCGTGTTGTTTGCTGTTATACACGGAGACACCAAAAAGCCATTCCGCAGCCTCAGTCTTAACCTAAGAATCTTGCGTCTTAAGTCTAAAGCTGCTTACTGGAAGGCCAGATCTTTTTTTTCCGGCACAAAATAGGCATGTGAGGGTCTTTAACTTGATAGTAGTGCCTTTATCGATAAGTAATCGATAAGATAGATCGCTATCCTCGATTAGGCGAGCACATATTTTCTATGATAGACGCGACACGCTAGGAGGCTCCTTCGCTCTAAACTTATCGAACCTCCCCTTTAGAACCTAGAATGTTAGTTGTATTGATATTCCTGGCTTGTGCTCACCGACGATTTAAAGCTTGTAGCTGGTCAACGTAACTAACCACCTACCATGGCTTCTGCAGCGTTGCTGATTGGCTTGAGTCACGTGTACTATGCATGTGGGGAGGATCGAGCCCCGTCAACCCCGCATGATGGTCAGACCGTTGTTGCTATCATTAACAAAATTGAGAGCGAATACAGTAACCGAATTCAATGGCAGAAGCACTCGGCGTCGCGTCCAGCGTTATCGCTGTGGTTGAGTTGTCTGTCAAGGTGCTTTCCTTGTGTTTGCAATACTCTCGAGAGGTAAAGAACGCCAAGGATGATATCGAAAGGCTCCGCAAAGAAGTTGCTAGCTTTAAGGCCACTGCCGATGAACTCAAGGCTCTCCTCGAGGGGCCTCATGGGAAGGCGTTGAAAACATCTCAACAATTAGTATCTGTGATAGAAAATGGCCACTCCACCCTGGGAAAGCTTAAACAACGGCTCCAACCTTCGACTGGTCGAAAGGCAATGAGTCGGTTTGGTATGCGTGCCCTCAAATGGCCATTCGAAAGAAAAGACGTTGAGGGGACCATTCAAAACCTTGAGCATTGCAGAACAAATGTTTCTTTGGCGTTGAATATTGATCAGACGTAAGCGATGCAATTTGGGAAACGACGGCTGAGCTGATGTGAATCCGACCTAGCGTAATCCTCCAGAACGTCGATGACCGAATGACCCTTAACCAACTGCCGATCGCACACGGTGCCTCTTTCGACTCTAAGGTGGAAGAACACAACCCGACATGCTTGCCCAACACACATCAGGAACTTCTCGACGATATCGACCATTGGATTGACGATCCCAACTCAGAAACAGTATACTGGCTTAACGGTATGGCGGGGACTGGGAAGTCGACCATCGCACGGACTGTTGCACATTCGCGATCGAAGCGAGGCGATCTAGGCGCTAGCTTCTTCTTTAAGAGAGGAGAAATGGATAGAGGCAACCTGAATAAAGTGATGTCGACTCTAGCCCACCAACTGGCCTTGAGCATACCAGGAGTTGCATTCTTTATTAAAAAGGCACTTGATAATAACCCAGCGGTTGTGGGAAAGTCTGCGAAAGAGCAGTTTGAAAAGCTCATCCAAGAACCGCTATGTGAGGCAGCGGCAATAGCAACAACTCCATCATCGATTGTGATGGTGATTGATGCGTTGGACGAGTGCGATCAAGAGACTGACATCAGGTTGCTGATCAACATCTTCTCGAAAGTTCAAACTATCCAGCCTCACCTCCGGATATTCTTGACGAGCAGGCCCGAGCTACCAATTCGACTTGGGTTCAGTGAGGTTCGAGGTTTCTACCAAGGCGTCGTTTTACACGACATCCCAGCGCAAATCGTCGAGCACGATATAATTGTCTTTTTGAATAACGAGTTCAAGAAGATCCGCCATGATTTCAACATGACTGTGGGCGATGAACGGAAGCTGCCGTCAGATTGGCCAGGACGTCCGACAGTGCAGAGTCTTGCAAAGATGGCGGTACCCCTGTTTATCTTTGCAGCGACCGTTTGTCGTTTTATTGGCGACCGCCGACGTAGCCCTCAAAGGCGATTGCAAACGGTGTTGGGTCATGGGGAGAGAAGTCACGGGTCCCAACTCGACCAAACCTACGCGCCGATACTGCGCTCACAGATCACATCGCTCCCGAAAGAGGAGAGAGAGGAGATCATCAGAGACTTCAGAGTGATCGTTGGTAGCATCGTTACCCTTGCGAGCCCCCTATCAGTAATTGCACTATCGTGCTTGATTGACGTCCCCCTAGAAGCCATGGATGAAAGATTAGATGCACTTCATTCGGTCTTGAGCATCCCGCTTGAACGTACAATACCTGTGCGGTTGCTCCATTTGTCGTTTCGAGATTATCTCATCGCAGAAGAAAGCGAGTTCCAGGTAGACGAAAGATCTACTAATCAAAGTTTAGCGAAACACTGCTTGCGCATTATGTGTGACGCTCTGCGGAAGAACATATGCGGCCTGTCTTTCCCAGGTATGCATCAATCCGCAGTAGACCTTGGACAACTGGAAAAGAGCATGCCTTCACAACTCTAATATGCCTGCATACACTGGGCGTATCATCAGATGGAGCATAACCCTAACCTTGACGATGACAACGAAGTCTATGATTTCTTATCGACACATTTCCTACACTGGGTGGAAGCGATGAGTTTACTTGGGCGAGTCAAGGAATGTCTCGAGTCACTCAGGTCACTAGCAAGGCGGCTGGAGGTTTGTCTTGATATTTTGGAGCTCCAACCCCGCTGACAGGTTCTAGAACAGAGAAAATTTAAGGCTTTCAGCTTTTGTGGCCGATGCAGTGCGATTTGTTCAGGCTTATTTTTCTGTGGTAGCTGACGCGCCGCTGCAGATTTATTCTTGTCTGATTTTCGCACCAAGCAAGAGTATCATAAGAAGGACATTCGAACAAGCTATTCCAAGATGGATAAGCAATTTGCCGAAGGTTGAAGAAACCTGGGACGCATGCCTATTGACTCTAGAAGGCCATAGCAAATCGGTCAGGTCTGTGGTGTTCTCGCATGACTCAAAAAAGGTAGCATCGGGCTCTAATGATAAGACGATACGGATCTGGGATGCAGAGACGGGCCAGTGCGAGCGACTGCTGAAGGGCCATAGCGGCGATATCAGCTCGGTGGTGTTCTCGCATGACTTAAAAAACGTGGCAATAACCTCTTATGAGGAGAGCATATGGATCTGGAATGCAGAGATGGGCAAGTGCAAGCGAGTGCTGAAGGGCCATAGCGACGATATCAGCTCGGTAGTATTCTTATATGACTCAAAAAAGGTAGCATCGGGCTCTTATGATGAGACGATACGGATCTGGGATGCAGAGACGGGCATATGCGAGCGAGTGTTAAAGGGTTATAACAGCTGGGTTAGGTCAGTGGTGTTTTCGTATAACTCAAAAAAAGTGGCATCAGTCTCTAATGACGAGATGATATGGATTTGGGATGCAGAGACAGGCAAGTGCAAGCAAGTGTTAAAGGGCCATAATAGCCGGGTTAGGTCAGTGGTGTTCTCGCATAACTCGAAAAAGGTGGCATCGGCCTCTAATGATGAGACGGTACGGATCTGGAATGTAGAGACAGGTGAGTGCGAGCGAGTGTTAAAGGGCCATAACAGCTGGGTCACTTTAGCGGTGTTCTCGCATAACTCAAAGAAAGTGGCATTAGCTTCTAGTGACGGGATAATACGGATCTGGGATGCAGAGATGGGCGAGTGTGAGCGAGTGCTGGAGGACCATGGCGAATGGATCAGCTCGGTAGTATTCTCATATGACTCGAAAAAGATAGCATCGGCCTCTTATGATGAGACGGTACGGATCTGGGATGCAGAGACGGGCGAGTGTGAGCGAGTGCTGGAGGGCCATAGCGACGATATCGGCTCGGTAGTGTTCTCACATGACTCAAAAAAGGTGGCATCGGGCTCTGATGACGAGACGATACGGATCTGGAACGCTGAGACGGGTGTATGTGAAGACATCGTTCCATCAGATGGCTATCCACATGTTCTTTCTTTTACGCCCGATAAGCGTGGTATTATCACAAATTGTGGTGAATTTTCTGTGACAGGTGGCTCGCAGCCTCGCGCAGGGTCTGCTATGCCGTGGCAATCTTCGGAGGTCCCGACCCTTGCCTGTACAGACAGCATTTGGGTCACGGCAGCAGGAAAAGACTTGCTTTGGCTGCCTTCCGAATGTCGCAACGGCAAAATGGCTATAGGGCGAAGCACTGTTGCCATAGGGTGCCGATCAGGAAGAGTCGTGTTATTGGAGATTTCCATGGCGGACATGGAGCAGTGGACGAATACATAACTACTGGATGGGGCTTTTGGGTGTTTAAGTGAGGGGAATGAAGCGAGCTGAGCTACCATCCGTAAAGCGATGACCTTTTGTGTTTAATGTTCGCCTAAAACAACTATATTATCTAGTTATAGGTTATAAATTGATACATTTTCTTTCTGCTTCTTCTAACTAGCCTTACCCACCCTTGCACCCGAATATTATGCCCAAAATTGAACTACCAGATTCCTTACTTACAGTCAACTTTGCAAACCGTCGTATCCAATTATCACACTGCTGCCGGTCTGGATTGTTCGCTATATGTATGATACCTGGCGGACAATGGTCCTCTATACGCGTCTTGCGCTCTTCAGCTACTTCCTGCTCTTCCTGCTCTTCCTGCTGAATAGTTATGAAACTCTGCAGTACGTTAGAGTCACTAGGCGTCATACGATCGTAGATGTCTTGAAGTACGATTTTCGGCAAGTAATAGCCCCTTCCCTGGTCGCTAAGGCCTTTCTGCGCAATGACTAGTGTGACCTTGGCGGCCCGAGGATCTGTATCCCCCACATCCATACTAGGTACCTCTGGAACGGAGGAATCACCCGCTATAAGGGAATCGAGCTTGCTGAAAGCGAGGAAAGCGAGTATAGCAAGAAACCGAGTCAGCATTATATTGCCGTATTCAAAGCTATAGCGGAGATAGTTAATGCGCAGAATGGTCTCAAAGGAGGCTCTGTAGTGGCTAAGTGATATCTGGAGTTCGTCTCGACCAAGCGGAAGTGGTTATAAGCCATTGCTTTCATAGTATATTAGGAATTCATAGAGTTAGATAAGGATATAGCAGTAATGGAGGCTTTGGTTTATATTAATCTAATTTATTCCTAGTAGAACGGGGTATATTAACTGTCTACCTCCACTCCTATATTATATAAGACAGATAAGATACTTACTGTAACTGCAGCTGCAATAGGAAGACGATATTTGACGGCAATAATAGGCCTGGTAATGTGCGGTATTAGGTCTCTAGCTTCTCTATTGTCTCGAAGGTTCTCCCGGCCCCCCTTTGAACTACTTGCTTATCGCTTTCGCTTATGGAAGCCTGAATTATAGCCGCGTTAAGAATGAGGCTATATTTGACCCTGACCTTGAAAGTATAACGGTACTGCATTAGCACTAATACCAAAGTTAAAAGGTACTTTAGCCAAATTTCACTATACTAGTCGGGATTAAGGTTGGGATCCGGTAATAAACTGTAGGGCGGAGTTTATAATAACGGAAATGTCTGAAACTGAAAACTTAATATACTGCATTCAGTTAGCGAACTGGAAACACTGTATTCGTAATGCTAGGGCTCATATTCTATACCACTGCCAATGAAATAGTGACCAAGCCGTAAGATCATAAGAGTGGCGTAACTTCTTATGCTCAGTTCTATGGAGTCTTTACCGCGAAATATGGGACGTCGATTGGCCGTCTTAGAGGAAAGGAATAGGAAAAAAAGGCTGCAAGAAAAAAATTGTTCCTCCATCAGCGATAGAGTTTCTCAGTTCAAGCCTGTCTTCCTAGCTGGATAGTAGAACTGCGATCGCTTAGTGTATCAAGACAGGAGAAGTCACGATCAGGGCATCTTGCGTCAAAAGCATTGTAGCATAGTCTACCCTCAACGTCGAAGCCCTGAGGCAATTAATCTATTTGTGTAGCTATTACTTCAAGAGCCTCTGATAGCGTCAGAGACCTCTTGTTGTAGAAGAGAAATTACAGGAGACGAATCGCGTTGCTCTCATATTTCGATGTTATGTTTTGAGCATGAGGGGTCAAGGTCAAGATATGTATTTTACTTTCGTCACAGCCAATCAAGCGATCTAGCTCGCTCATCCTGACTCTGAAAGTACAGCGTGGAATGATTTTGGCTTGATCATACATAAATCAGGCTCTCCCTCCACATTCGATTGGATTGTTGGTCGCACCGAGGACGATCCCTTTCGGAAGCAACTTTGACTTCCAAGTAATCAATGATCTCTGCTAGTTAGACCTTTTTCGTAACCAAAGGGTTCTCCTCCCAAGTTGTAATCCACACACGAGTTTTTCTTGTTGCAGCCTAATACATGTGTGCCATAAGATGACAGGGCGGTAATCAAGAAAGACTGGAGGCCTCAAATTCTGTACTTGTCTGCCTGTCCGTTCGCCGGATTTGCTTCTATTAGTAGACCAGGTGTCCAGCTGATATATGGCTGCCTTTCGTGCGTCGCCATTCGCTCCGCATTTGAGAGGCAGTGGCTTTGAAATCGGGTTTTTCGCCAATCATGTAGCTACAACGCACAGCCTGCCGCAAGTTGCTGCATAGAGGCGTCGTAAGGCTGACTGATGAAATCCTCACACCTCCTTAGAGCCTGATATATGACCCCCGCCTCCAAGAGCATGCGGACCTCGCCATGCGCCTCCTCGAGCGTTCCTCTATTGCGATTGTCTGTCCATACAATATCACGTCCTCCTCTTCGCTCAATATCGATCGCCGACCATATCGAATCCCCAAAAGTATACGGTCGGCTGGATCTGCGCTATTATAACTGAGTACCTTGCTGCGCAACTCTTTCTGGACGATGAGCATAAAGGACCCGAGTTCATGTCCGCTAATGATAATAATCATTATACACTGGGCAAGATCGGGAAACACAATGTTATTATTGCTATCCTTCCCTATAGCGAATATGGCATATCATCCGCCGCTGGTATTGCAAAAGATATGCTTAATAGCTTCCCTAACGTCAGATTCGGCCTGATAATTGGAATTGGCGGCGGTGCGCCGACTCCTAAGCATAATGTTTGCCTTGGGGACGTCGTAGTAAGTACTTCTGGCCATGGGAAGGGCGGTGTATTCTAGTATGACTTTAGGAAGGCCATGCAGGGTCAGGAATTCCAGGAGGCTGGATTCTTGAATCAGCCGCCAACAATTCTGCGAATAGCTATGCATATACTCTTAACACAATATAAGCGCAAGGGGCACCAGCTTAATAAATATATTAACGATAACTTGGTAGAGAACCCGAGACTTAGGAAAGAGTTCCAATGGCCCGAATCCAGCACCGACCGACTATACCACTCCTTAAAGTTTATCCGCCAGATGGCCAGTCTAACTGCGCAAAGGCTTATGGCGATGATCACTTAACCTTAGTCCTGCGACCTGATCGTACTGAATATGAAGATAATCCTGCTATTCACTACGGCTTGATCGCTTCGTCGAATCGGTTAATGAAGGATGCTGTGCCACGAGATGCGCTTGCGGCGAAGAAGGATGTTCTCTGCTTCGAGATAGAGGCAGCTGGGCTAATAAACCACTTCCCGTGTCTGGTGATCCGCGGGATATGCGACTACTCCGACTTGCACAAGAACAAGGAGTGGCAGGGCTTTGCGGCAATAATAGCGGCGGCATATACTAAAGATCTCCTACACTAGATTCCTCCCAGCAAGGTCAAGGCTGAGAAGCCTATTAGTGAAATCCTCAGTTCTAGTTAATATTGTAATGCCAGCTTACGCTTCCTCTTCTAACCTTGAACAGTCGAATTCACGGGAAATAAAACTAAATATATAGTGATAAGCATGGCATCTGACTATCATTTCGCCAAAATCGAGCGATGGCTATCTACACCAGATTATTTAACTAATGCCAACTTGGCAAGAAAACGCCGCCATCCCGGCACTAGGGCCTGGCTTCTAAACAGTCCTGTCTTCCAGGAATGGAAACTTAGGTTATATTAATATCTATAGCTCTATAGCCTGGCAGGATATAGCAAGACCATTCTAAGTATAACGGTTCTTAATTATCTTCTGCAAATAGACACCTATATTATGCTTGCCTTCTTCTTTGACTTTAGCGATCCCAGAAAACAGAAACCAGAGGATCTCCTATACCCGCTAGTAGTTTAGCTTTATTATACCGGAAATAAAGCTGCAAGAAGACTTAATAGTCTTTTTACTTCCTACGATAATAGACAGAGATAACCAGATATAAATGCCTTGTTAGCCTATATTAATATAATAATATAAATTGCTAGAAAGGTTTTTATTATTATTAATGCCCTAGATAAGTATACAGTAAGGGAAGAACCTTTGCAATAGCTAAAACATTTAGTATCCAGGAAGGCTCAGCTTATCGCCACTAGCCAGCCTAAAGTAGAGCTCCGAAGCGTAATCCCTCGCTTGTTCGATAAGCACAATTATATCTTGCTCAACAAGCAGGCTATTAACGCTAATATATGCGCTTATGTTAAGGCAACGCTTAAGCAGAAGTCCGATTTCATAGACAAGAAGTTATCTCCAGATATTCTAGAAGAGATATGCAACAAGATCGGAAACGGGGCAGACAGAATGTAAGTTTTAGCCTAGGTCACCTATATAAAGCAAACACTTTTCTAATATTTATCGCAGGTTCAGATAGGCAGCTTATTAACTAGAAACTCTTGCCTAATATCTAAGTCCAGCAGCCATCGAGATAGCCCTCAGGTCCTTACCCAGTGATCTGAATAGGATATATTGCCGCATGCTCGAGAATATACCGTCTAAATATAAGCGTGATGCGATTCGTCTCCTGCAGTTTCTTGTCTACACCAAGCAGCCTCTGACGCTACCAGAGGCCGTAGAAGTAATAGCCACAGAGATAAATCAAGAGCCTCGAGGTTTCACCGTTAAACGCAGACTATTTCAAGCAGCCGATATCCTATAATACTGCCCCAGCTTAGCGATAATCGCCGAAGTTATAAACTACGCCAAGACCGTAGAAGAACTTCACCTTGCTCACTTCTCCGTCAAAGAGTATCTTCTTAAACAAGCCCAGTTTAACCTCGAAAGTGCCAGCATTGTTATCACCAGAACCTGCCTGACTTATCTTGGTAATATTAAGAATAATTGCAGCATAATCAGATCCGATTTTCCGATGGCATTATATGCGGCAAAATACTAGACCGATTACGCCGTTTCAGCCGAGACTTCTGAAGAGATCGTTCGAATCTTAGTTAGTTTCTTAAAAGACGAGACGACATTTCAGCGGTGGTGTCGATTATACGAGGCCGACTGCCCGTGGAACTATAAACCAGGACCTCCTGAAGCACCCAGACTGTATTATGCTTGTCTAGCTGGACTCGCAGGGGCTGCCATAGATCTGACGACAGAGGGGGCAGACGTCAACGCGCAGGGCGGTTCGTATGGCAATGCTCTACAGGCTGCTACAACTGGCAGCAAACTGAAGGTTGTGTAATTACTCAATCTGAACGGCGCCAAGATGGTGTCCAGAAAGCGATCTAGCTCGACAAAAGTCAGGGAACGAACGAAGTTACCTCGGCTTTAGACTCTACCGGCTTCGGTTGCACCTGCAACCAACCCTCCAGCCTTTATGCTGTCGAAGCCATGGCCCCTACCTGTCATTCGTACCCAAGTAATTGCGCCAACGTTATTCCTATTTTTATTCAACTCCAGCCGAATATAGACGCAAGTGCAATTCCCCGGACGGAATTTCGGTTGATGCATTGACACATTGAGATAACATAGAGACAAGTTCACAAGGCAGGCATAAGAGGAACATTAGTCGGAGATGGGATAGTGACAGATTCAATACATATGATAGGACTTACCTACAAGGATCGGGGCAACATCCAAGGGCAGAGGTGGTGGGCAGTTGGGCGTAGAAAGCTTTCAACTAAATAACGCGGCAAGGCGTACCCGCATAGTAGTATATCTTCGGGCAAGAGTTTGAGCTCACTGGAGGATCAGTTGTTAAATTCGGCGATTCGGAGCTGAAAGAGATGGGCTAACAGCGCTTCTGCAGAAACATGAATCTGCAACTTGCATCAAGTTCGCAGACCCTCGTGTGCCTGCTTTGCGCCTGAAAAAAGGTCTGGCCTTACAGTGAGCGGCTCTAGACGCAAGCTCGTTTGGTCAAGCTTGAGGCTGCCGGGTGGGGTTTTCGCGTTTCCAGATATAACAGCAAACAACACGACTCAACCTAGAACCAAGACTTCCTAGTTGTGTATTTGGCAGGAAATCAATCTCAACGCATTGGCTTCTGGCTTGACTACAGAGTCAGCATTGACCATGCCTATGTGCTTGAAACGGGCAAACGGAACAGAGGGAGGACATGAGGCCGTGGTGCGACTATTGGAGTCGTCGGGAAGGTCACCTCTTGGCATTGCTTGCACTAAGGGGTTCATAGAAGTTGTTGGCCTTATGGTTCAGAACCGGGCCAATATCACGGTTGCGGACAAGAACGGATGGACGCCAGTCCTTGCGGCATCACATATAGGGAATGTCGAGGTGGTCACACTATTATTAGGGGAGCCTCATATCGACCCCAGCAAACCGGACGACCTTGGCCGTACGGCCCTCTTTTACGCTTCTAGGTATGGGCAATACCACGCGGCGCGAGTTCTTCTCTCCGAATGGCGCGTCAACCCGGGCGTCAGGGACTGGATGGGGTTAACAGCATTGTTTGCTGCGGTAGCGAATGGTCACCTGCATGTGACCAAGCTTCTTATCACTAGCGGTGCAACCGTTGAGATGCAGGGCGGTATCGGCCACAGTCTGACATGGTGGGCGCTCCGCGCTGGTAACCCTGAGCTGCTCCAACTCTTAGTGGAACATACTGAAACAATTGGCACTCGGATCTCTGACGACTCTATTCCCAATGATCTTGTCTCTACTCCGTTTGATCACGAAGCCCCTTGGTGCGACGCCTGTACACTGAGCATCCACGGAGGTTGCTGCTACTCTTGCAGCGTTTGCGATAGGGGCTTCTGCTTGTGCGTGGAGTGCTATGCTAAGGGTATTCGATTTTGTGACAAGGCTCACGTTCTTATGCTTCAATGAGCGTCCGCGAAGTGTCTCTGGGTCATGTCGAAATCTTAGACCACCTTTGTCGCCTTGTTCTTCAAAGTCTACTTTCCTTGTCTATTCATTCGAGCTGATATCTACATTCTTTATAGCGCTGCCATTTTGTACTTGCGACGATGCTAAGCCGCGTGAGGTTGGCAAGTTCTTTTACGCAGCCTGATTCCAGTCTTTGTACCCTCATCATCTTCGTGCACCGCCAGCCCCGAACCAAACGACCATCTTACATGCTTCCAGTAAATAGAGGGGGAATTCCCTCTATATCGCCCTGCCACCAACTTCCAAATTTCAATTCCAACACCGTATAATTTTTTGCAACGTGATATCGGAGAGCTTGCCGATGAGCTGGACTGACCCATCCCCCGTTGTAATATTCCTTGCCCTTATCGAACCTCCTCCCTCTAGGATTATCGTCTGTTGACACTCTTTACCGACGGTGATGTTCTCTAGGTTACATGCATGTGCAGCAGAGCCTATCCTCGCTACTGGACTGGACTGAATAGTATCTGCAGCCTTGAGGTTGTCGTCGTGTATGACCTCCTGTGGAGTTGAGGTGGTTGGATTATTTTCATCTTCCTGTGTATGATTTTGTAGAAGGGCAATAGACTGCTAGTAATCTCGTAAATTTCTCGAGGGCAGAGATAGCGATAGTCTGAAGACGAATGAGTTCTCTCAAATCCTGCGTCGGAGATGTATCTAGACCCTAGAACCTCCAGCGTTACTTGTCTGTTTCTATAGTTAACATGTATATCAAACTTACCTTTAATTGCTGGATATGAGGCTCGTCCTGCGACTGTTGTATATCTATGTGCAAAGGTAGAGAGCGTCTGAATCCGATCCCGGTATTTTGGCCTTTGTCTAACAGCTTGTCTATTACTCGCTGAGGAAGGGTTCCCATGTCCATTGAACACCATTGCTCCCACAAGTGATTGGAGGAGATAGATATTGTACTGAAAACGTCGACACCTACCTTATTTCTTATGGAATTGGCTGCCATAGATCCTCCTTCACTGATCATGTAGTTGCCTGGTAGGTTGATTAGATATAATAGCTCCCAGCGATGAAATGAGGAGCAACGAGAATCATACCCTACCTTTTTAGCTCTTGCATAGACTATACGGAGATGGAATCTATACCGTTTTGTTAGTCAGCGGCCAGCGGAAATAAGCTATTCAACAATTGCATGCTGCGTCAGGGGGAATAGCTTCAAGGCGTGACTGCTTATCGAGTTCACAAAATGATTTATTCGATTTTACCGGTAGAATCAGTGACCTTCGGGATTGTTGTATTTCTTTGGCGATATTGCATGTCTAGCAGTTTAGCAAATTTTGCAATCATAACGGGAAGAGGCCTTGCTTACCGGTGTGTTCTGAGGCGGCCCAAGGTGATGGAGTGCGTGCAAACCTGTGAAGCGCCGCAACAGTCCCCATGAGCCTTAAGTAGGTGGTTTAGATGAGCTATTTCCGCTTTTAGTCGAGATAGCTCAGCTTTCAGTGCCCGAGTTCTTGGAATATTGCCCTCCATAAGAATCCAGTCCCGCTAGCCGGCTAATGTCATGCTCCTTGTTGGTCATTGTGGGTGCTTGCTTACTTGATATAAGCCGATGTTTATTAATAGAAGATAGCTTTCTCTTCGGGCCCGTATATAGATAGGTTTGAGTCGATTTTTCTGATAGTCTACCAGCGATGTACATAGATGGGGCTTTTCGCGCTTCGCTGCGGCGCAACGGGCTTACCAATTAAGGTAGTTAAAATACATCAACCTGGTTCATCCAATCAATGATGGAGAAAACGTGTACAATATTGCGACATGTGAGGATCATCCTTTGACAACCGTGATATCATTCCTGTTGAGAAAACAACCGCTGCAAGGGGCGGCATTTATCTAATTATGAGAACATAGTAGATAATTACACATTGGCTTTATCCATAAGTTTCTTTAAGGGTCTAGCTAAAGGCTAGGTTATCATTTCAGTTAATAGCTCGTGACCGTAGCCTTACATATATTTCAGTGCCGCAACCGTCACCAGAAGCTCCGAATATGATACCAAACGGAACTTCTAACTCCTCAGATTCCTCGACCTTATTAATACACGAATCAAGTCAGGGGACTAATCTCCGACCTTTGATCCCAGCTCCGCGCCCTCATCCGGTTAGGGACCCATACCGGGCATCGAACAGCTCCCTCAGTACGATGAAGAGGAGTCTCAAGCCGATGGTCAAGGCGTGAAGTGCGGGGTAAGACGCATTTGATGTAAGTAAGGAGAAGTACCCAGAACCGCGCCGCTTATTGGTCCCGGCGTCTGACCATAGGGCTATGGAAGCCACAATGGACGTTCAACTGCGCCGTGTGAATCACCGCCACGAAAATACCTCATTCGGTTACTATGAAAATATGATATATATTCGTCTCTTGCCCGATCCCTCCTTCTACCCTCCCATGACAGGAAAGTAGAACGAACAAACGGATTCCATTCCTTTGAACCCATGCTATATATGATGGCCCTATGAAGCAAAACGTTGATCATCATAACGCCTCCTTATTATGTCTAGATCCACCTCACTAATAAAGGAGTGCTCTCCCGTATCTCCAGGACACATAGACTTTTACCAGCTCCTGCCTCAAATTCCAGGAGTCCTTGGCCTGCTTCTGATCAAGGGCCATCTCTATTATCGCTCTGTCCTTGAGCTGACATGACTAAGATCGCCTGTGATTCGTGTTGGGAACGAAAGATCAAGGTACATGCAGACATCTCATGTTTCATGTGCTTCTCCACCGGTTGAACAGTCGTCCCGCTTACTCGCCAATGTGTCCCATTAGTGCTGCGGAAAACAGCCAAAATGCAGGGGTTGCCTTGAAAGAGGTTTTCAGTGCCATTATCAGACTTCAAATTGGGACCAATACGATGAGATGCAAGAAAAACTTAAACCCTACGAACAATTTTACCACCTCCTAAGGTCTCTATCAGAGCGGGAGACCCTGGACATTCTCCGCAAATTTCGCAATGGCGCGCTGTTGCCAGATATACTAATTCATTACGAGTTTTCTTATTCTGTTTCCAACACCGGCTCCTCCGATGCCGCCCGATAGTCTATATCTGGGCTCATCCATACTCTAAATTGCATCTTATGCTCTGCCATACTGCATAGAGCAACTGGAGGTTCGGGCAAGCTAGCCTACGATCGGATATACGACATCGTATGACGCGGTAGTATTATTGTACCCTTGAGTTACGAACATTTGGATACCAGCAATATTTAGTGTGTTGGAGTGTTACGGTGGGGGAGATCAGCTTGAGTATTAACTAGCGCGAAAATTCCCTACGTTCTTATCTTAATTTGGCCATTTTCCTGTGACCAGTCCTCCTGTAATGAAGTATAATGGCTAGGTAGTATCGAAGACCGTTCTGTTTAATTGGGGCATAGAATATTAAACACCCTTTGCGTCTGACGCCCAACATCTTTGAGGGCTGGCCGCCGCAGTGCAGTAAGGGCCGTCCAAGTCCTTGTAAGCAGTGTTTAGGCAATCGATGTCACACCCCTCATCGTGTAATTTCCCGTTTACGCCTATTCCGCATTCACACGGTTCAATGCCGTCCGCTTCTATTTTGATAGCCCTATTCAACTGCGAAATCTGGTCGTCATAATCGATGTCTAAAACGGATGCTCGGTTTTGTGGCGGCATGCTTTCTGGTCAATCAACATTCATCAGTCGCATCTAAGTTATGCCTATATCAGCCATCTGCGCCAGTTTGCGCTCCGCGATAGGATCATTGTGGGCACAGCTTCTTCAACGACTGCTGTGATGGCTATCGTCATCACTCCTACATGTCAATCTAAAGCTGACTTTGTTCTTGGTCTCTACTGCGGTGGCTCGACCTTGAAAGGACGAGACATTCAATTGGGGCTTGGATCGGTTGGTGTCACATTGAAGGTGATTTACTGGATATAGACAAAGCCAGTATATTCAAAATCTACAGCAGCTACATCGTTGGGAAAGATTGTAACTATGTATAAGTTATATATTTCCTATCGCGGCTAAAAGAGCCCTGGGAATAAATCATCGCTGTTTACACGTTGTTCCCTGGTGTTGTTCCCAGGAACAACACAATGCTGTTTTCACGTTTGATAGCCCTTGTATTGTTCCCAGACGATACTGTTTCCTCAATTGATTTCTCGCTCCTGGGAACAAATTGATGCTGTTTACACGTTTGATGTCCCTTGTGTTGTTCCTGGGAACAAGTCAATGCCGTTTTCTTGTTTCTCGTTTAATGATCTCTCGATCCCAGAAACAAGCAAGGCGACACTGTTACCAGAGGTTCAATGCATGAAGGTAGGGCATGGCATTATGCCGAAAGCTTGACAAATTTAGAAACCTTACATCTACTCACTAGCGTTCATTAGTGGAGACCCCTAGCATGCGGCGGTTATTGAAGCAATGTCGTTGTCATTTGTATGTGCCGGCTCAACCAGAAACCTTGCGACCAGTTTCACTCTCCTGTTTTCTGTATCATGTTCTCAGGAAAGCAGCAAGATACTTGTGCAAGTGTCCATGGAGGCCGCGTCATGTCGAGTATGCCTAATCATACCAAAATCGCTGACGACCAATTCGACCGTCTAGACGCCTTAGCCATACCCACCACCGGTCCCGCGTCACCACTCAATTGCTTGCTGAACGGATGGACGCAAATGGTCGCTTGAATACTATATATTTATTGACAGTTACAAGCCTCTATCTTAGACAGTTGCTTTAATACAAATTCACCTGTTTTTGAGCTTTCAATAGGTATTCCCTTCCTATTTTACTTCTCTTTCATTTAAATCCCCCAACGTTCTGGGCTCTTGGAGGATATTGGGGACATAAGCGATATGCGGCGGATAACATAACTCTTCGGCAGATGGTAATTGCCAATCGAGATTGACGGGGACTCGGGCTTGATCTGCTACCACTTTTTTTCGTCTGCTGATCCCTTTCTGAAAATTGGTCCCGTCAATTCGACATCGCACCACGGGTACACTAAAGAATCGTGGCTTCATTGAGACCTGTCCAAGCTTGAACTATCATGCACAGTGCCTTCTGCGATAGCAGCATCGCTTAATGCCCTGATTTACGGGACAGCATCCTTCCGTCTTCGACCTTTCAATCATATAAATCTCTAGCCGCTTCTGAAACCCACGCAAACAACGAAACACATATCCTTTAGAAGGAATACAGTACATGACAGGTATTATGACCGTAAGTCGTGGCTTTATGCCCAAGTGACGCCGGAATTGTAAAAGTATATTTCAAAAATAATAAAACCAGGAAAATGAAAAAAAAAAAGCAAAACCTTCTCAGTGAGCAACACTCCATGAATCGAATTTCAGTCATTAATTTCTCGCGCTCCCTGTTGCATCCAACTTGTAGAGTGTCAGAACGTCGCTACTGGGGGATTAACATCAGGTATAGTGATAAGTCTGCAGTAGGGGGATTCGAGCAGAACTGCAATTTTGTCCATGGTATACTGGGACAACAAGAGCGAATAATTTTATAGTGTCTTTGAATGTTATAGGGTTTGCGAAGTAGATAGAGGTCGAGTGAAGCAAGCCATGGCTAAGATAATATGTATATTTATCTTAAACTGGCTCAGAGCATTATATTTAACACAGACCATACCGCAATTTATAGTTAGTTCAAAAATGTCTTGCACCGGGGTCTCGGGCAAAGCTCCGCACTCTCCGGATACCACCCACCATCATTTAACAGATAAGCAGAAGTGTGTGACGAAGAGCCTGATTTAAACTGGTGCACATAGGCTGTTTTTAACCCCCCTACTTCGGCTTTAGTACATCACCTAGCATTATTGCTGACCCGCCATAAAACACAGGGTTCTCAAGGTATCCGGTTCTACAGCCAAGCGTGCATCTCGTCACCATCCCACTTCTAAGTTCTAACCATCACCAACTTCGATGTACCGCAATTTTCATCAATCCAAGGGCGATTTTTATCACAAAATGGATGACTCATTATGGACATGGCCAGCCTGGAAGTTCGACATGAAGAAAGAGGATTTATTCACCAAGCTCCACGACCAATACAACACCTACCCGTCCCCCATTCAAGATAACGAGGCCTTTTATCACGATATCTCCGAAATCTCCTACGAAGCGCAGTCGACTGCTGAATTTCATCACTTAGCCAGCAATCGCAGATAACAACGACTCTGCGAATTGAATGACTCTCTTGAATCTGCAAGTCTCGAAATCATTGAAAATCCAAACCTCATCAAGATGCCTCAATGGGGACATGCTATCCAGCTCTTCCGGACCAATTCTTTGGACTCCCTCGTTCGATACTTCGCTTCATACCTCCCTGCCGACCACATTTGGCACCCCTTGTGTCAAGATTCTGCCCTTGCCACCGCTGACACGTTTCCTACGTCCAGTTTACCAGGAAAGGGGTGCAAACGCATCAAAACGAACGAGGCCACAAGCGCCAGGAGGCAGCTCTTGCCGTCGCCGTCGACGGGGCTTCTCCGCTTACCGGCGAAAGATCAATTCCTAGAACCAAATGAACTCCTGGATTCTGCGCGTCCTGCTGCAATGTGCTCATTTCCAGAACCGGGGATCAAGCATACTCGACCACAGGGACATAGCTCCCACGTTGGCCACTGGGAAGACGCGGTGAGTTCTGGTCATGGCATATCGACGATGTCCGATTCCGATACATTTACGACAGTTAAATGCAGGAATGAGAACATACTCAACGAGACAGTACGTCCCAACAAGAGATTATCTACCAGATTATCTATTAAGCAGGTTGATCTTGCAAGCCGCCACTCGGGAGGCCAGAGAGGTCGTTATGTCGATTGTCAAGTGAGTGCCCAACCAATAACCTTGACATCTTTACCCGCAGATTTATCACTCTTGGGGCCTTTGCGGCCTCCGACAGCATCGGATGGCTCCATTTAAGTTACTGCTAGAGCTATGGTGGGAGGGAAACGCAAACGTTCTTAAGCGACTAAAGCTCTCAGGGAAGATCTTCGCATGTTCACATTGTACCTTTAGAAAACCACATAATCTCTTTGAATGGCTTTTGTCATAATGCATTCTTGATTAGAGCCAGATCAACTCTTTAATCGAGCATGAGCTTCGGCGAAACTGGAGACCTTAGGGCCCTAAACACTGTACCCTGTAAGAACCGTACTGGCATGTGACTGATGGTATCAAGAGGCGAATTGCATAAAAGTAGATCGACATCAAGAGGATTGTGCTACAAGGGGTCAGCAACCACAGTAAAACACAGGGTATGTTTGACACATGCTCCAATGTAACCCGTACTACGTCACTTGCTTTCGAATACCAGGTCTAGCATTGACCCCCGACAGAGCGGTTTTTGAGGGTTAGCATCTTGGGATAAGATACGCCTTATCCTCTTCCCCACTTCAACCACTCATTTATCCACAATACCAGATTGCAAATATGGATCCACCAAAAACCTCCGAGCTCACTACAGAGAAGAACAAGCACCTCTTGACCCTGTATGGAATAGTTCCCAGCAAAGGGAACCTTCTTTATCACCAGTTGGAAGTTAGTAATATTGTTTCACGGTCCATGACCAGCAAGAATCAAGCTAACTCGGCAATCAATGGAAGAGAAGAAAGTATTTCGATTCGGGTGATTTTGCCCTCGCGCAAGCTCACAGGTCTTCCGATATCGGTACCGTCACAACTGGTAGCGAATACCCCATTCGGCGGGATATATCAGACCCTTCGTCTTCAGTAACGAGTTCTGGCAATCTTGACGATAACGCCAATCAGCATTCACCGACTGAGAAGAAAACTGGCGAGCTGAAGTTAACTAGCCACAGCCACCTTCAACAAGAGATGGAAGCCCAGTGAGAGAACGAGCCTCGTGAAACGAAGCAGGAACACAACGTCTAGATGCTGGCCATTATAGTTTAGCTAGCTGACCCGCCTGGTTAGCAACCAGGGCCTCAATAGCATTAAAGGATGCCTCTCGTTTAATCTGATGATGGTTCTGTTGTATAGTGCTCGCACGTCGTGGAATTTAAGGCAACTGAGGTGATGAGCAATATTATTTGCGATGCGGCATCACGAATGGAACTTGGAGGTTAATGTTTACGGTGGTCCTGTATATTGCTCGAGATTAAGACATGAATAACGGCAAATGAATGATCAGACTTCTGCACGTTTCCGAGTATACCAGGAGATATGGCTGCATTTAAAGACTGCTTCTTTTGCGTATTTTACGTACGCAATAGTGGTCTGCTTGTATCTCAGCCTCAGGAAGTTCCTTATCGTGATGACACGCTCAGGTCAGTATCAAGCCACAATACTTAGATAATACCCTTGCTTACTCAGCGAAGTCATCCCTGCTGCAATTTCTTTCACATGTCAGGTTTAGCATGTGCTTAACCAAGGTATTTATAAGTGGGATAACGGCGATGCGACGTCCCAACAAATCGACTTGACCATAATTCAACAAAAGATGATACTATTATGACGCTACAAATTTATTTAGATAGGAATGTTTTCAGCATAATTATCACGATTCTGCCCTCCATAGAAACAGCGACCGTCTAAAGCTAAAAAAAAAAAATTAAAAAATTAAAAAAAAAAAATCGATATATACATGTTTCCCGTGACGCCGCCCAACAGTATGTCTCCACTACCATAGCGGGAATATCGCTATGGGACTATATCGTCATCCGCGCATCTATATTTCTCTTACACCTCATCGCACCACTTAGCATCGCTTATTCACTGGTCAGTCTGCTAGCCCGTCTTCTATTTCAGTTCCCGCGAGTACTATAGGCGTGGCTCGTTCTTGAGGCGCTCTTCTATCTGGCTGTCTACCTACCACTTAAAGCATACCTCTAAAGGGCCGCAAAATACCTAGCTCTTCCCTGCCGCGCTGATAGACGGAAGTTGTTCCTATAATGTTATAATAACATTCCCGATCCGGCTTTGTACCTACGGAAATGGTTCCGGAATGCGCCAGCGTCCGAGATCAAGCGTGACAACGTCAAGGATTTCTTCCGGTGGGCGTTCTTGAACACAGGAGAGTATGATCCGACCTACGACGAGGAATTAGAAGAGTATACTCAAGAGATAGAGAAGCTGCTGGGCAGGAAGTTAGAGCCTGGTCGCGGAAACGCCAAATGCCTCCGATTGACTCTCGATAAGGTAGAGATGTTGCATCGGAGTTTAACGTGGTACCTAGTTAGTTACTGACAGGGCTATGCGCCCAAGCACTGGCTTATATACCCCGTGTTCTTAACTCTATTCGCACTACTGTCTAGTGCGTGTTTGTTGTCGACACGATAGCGTCTATCTCTTTACGATACCACTCGTTCAACTTTCATCGCACGTCGTTCTCGCAGTTTGTCGCCACATTTCTACTATGTCTTTCTACTCTGTTTGCGACCTATACCTCCTATGCGAAGGGACTCACTTACTGGCACCGTCCACATGCGTCTAAGACAAAGCTGCCTATTTTATTCATTCATGGCACCGGCGTGGGGTTTTACCTATACGTAAACTTCTTGGCCGAAATAAATGCTGATATTGACGAGAATCCTTCAGATGGGCAGGTTGGGATTATCGCTATAGAAATTATGTCGGTAAGCTCCAGGATAATATACGAGGCAATGTTGAAAGAGGAAATGTGTGATGAGATTCGTTGCATATTGACGGCATATGGGTGGGAGAAGTGTGTCTTGGTATCGCATTCGTAAGAATCGCCCCTGAAGTGACTCCATTCCCTAACTTTGACTTTGACCATGAGAAGATACGGAAGCGTGGTTGCCGCACAACTCCTTCGTAGCCCGGAGATCTCACAGAACATTGGCCCCGTATTATTTATTGACCCCGTGTCTTTTCTACTTCATTTACCTGACGTGGCCTATAATTTTATATGCCAGCTCTGTCCCCAAATCGACTGACGACATTTACTAAACTCTAACGCTCTAGATATGTAGACGACCAAGTCAACCAAATGAGTATCTACTCTCCTACTTTGGTTCCAAGGATATAGGCATATCTTATACCCTATTCCGCCGCTTCTTATGGGCCGATAATATGTTATGGAAGGAGGACATTCAAGATCGTTCTGTGACTGTGGTATTAGCCGGCAGAGATAGTGTGATCGACACGAAAGCAATCCGGGCATATCTGCTGGGCTCAGAGAATTGGACCTTAGAAACTATGGACTTGGTGGATCTCGGGCGGAAAGATGATAGATTGGATGTCATCTGGTTCCAAGATCTGGATCACGGCCAGGTCTTTGGCCAGAAGAGGACTAGAAGCAGTCTGCTTGAGATTGTCTGGACGTTTTGCAACAAATAGTGGGCATAACTTATTCCAAGTCACGGAGTGGACGCTAGCTGGCCATAGCTAAGTTCCTTTCGTAGAATGACCAGAGCGTCGCCGTGAGAGTCTATATTATTGCGTTGAGGAGGCATGTTGTATAACGGTCATAGAACGCCCATAAAAAGACATAGCTTAGTTTGTAATAATGGAAGGCCGAGGTTGAAATCGCTCTTATCGATAACACGTCCCCGCTGTCACCCTTAGGCTAAAAGTGGGCTTCCTCCAAATATGACACATTGTTTTCCTGGGTGTATGTAGCTGGCAAATGATAACGGCGAAGGACCATCCATGAGAATCGGTAGCCTGATTGATCTTCACTGCATTTTTAACCGCACCCAAGGGAATAAGAAAACTGCTGTCGTTGGTTCGACTAAGAAGTGTGTGTGGAGGTTGATTAGCCTACTGTCATGGGCCGAAATCGTGGTGGAGCAGGATGCCCCTTTTTCGACGCCAAAGCGCCCGAGTCGGGTGGTGAAGCCTATGAGCAAGGTCCGAGACACCGCGCGACAATTGGAAGACACTGCCATAGAAGCGCGACGAATCACTCGACAGACAGCGCGAAACGTACCGGCCGAAGAACAGATCGACCGACCAACCGAAACCCGAAAGAGTAGCGGCAGCGGCAGCGGCAGCGGAAGCAGCGATGGAAGGGCAATGCTGCAGAAGGCGTTGGATCTCCTGGCAGAGTCGCGTAGGGAGACCAAACGACTGCAGGAAGCGCTGAAGGAACAGACAGTGCACGAGATGGGCAAGCAGATGGTGGAGATCAAGGAACAGATGACTGAGGAAATACAACGAGCCCGTGAGCAGCTCGAAACTATCGCGACGAATGCAATAGACGGACCTCAACGATCATATGCTGACGTCACACGACTGACGCCGTCCCTACCCCACAATGATTCGAGGACCTTAGCTGCTCCTCCGAACCCCATAAACGTGTTCTACTGCACGATTGACGTTTCAAGACTAGGAGAAGATGAGGCTAGGCTCTCAGCCGGGACAATCTGAGCGATAGTAGAGAACGAAGTCCGCGCCAAACTGGATGATCCCACGTGGCAATGCCGAGCAGTGACTAGGGACCCAAAGAATCCCCACCGCGTCAGGATCACTTGCAGGGACGAGAGCGAACATAAGATTATAAAACGCATAGCGGAAACAAGCCTGGCCCAGGAGCCCGCATCCTATGAGACAACCTATACCCTATCAGGGTAGATAATATCAGCCGTATTACGGTAATAGACAAGAAGAACGAAGTTCAAACTGAGATCACCGAGATACTTGGCCAAGAAAATAACACCGAGGTTATAAAGATAGCATGGCTTAACAAGAGAGACATCCCCAAGGCATACGGCTCAATGGTTATATATCTCAAAAAACGGTCAGAAGCCAGGCAGTTCATTAACAAAGGATTCTTTATAGCTAGAGGAGAATCCGGCATCACAAAGACATTTAAACGTCAGGACCGCCCCAAGCAATATTACAACTGCCAATAGATCACTAATCACAAGGCTTATCAGTGTAATAGACCACAAGTCTATAGAAGGTGCGCGCAAGAAGGCCATTAACACAGGGCATACACAGGAACGATTCCAAAATATATCCTATGCGGCAGCCCCTACAAGTCATACAGCAGAAACTATCAGAAGCTCTATCCCTTACAGCATGAATAGCATATTTCGACTATTTCAACTGAATATCAGGAAGCAAGGACCAGTAAATAATAGCTTAATAAATAACAAGGCCATTCAGGATGTAACCGTATTAGCCATCTAAAAACCCCAGGGGCAGAGGATCCAGGGTAGACTGTTGACGATACCCGTGGGGGACCACAAATGGATCAAGATGGTACCTACGGCAGAGAGGGAAGGTAGATGGGTAATTCGGAGTATGCTTTAGGTGAAGAAGGAGGTGGAGGCGGAGCAGGTGCCGATAGACTCTCCAGACGTGACGGCAGCCCTGGTCCAAGGAGCTGCTGTTTGAGATGCTTAAAAAATCCGAGTTTGATTCTGACGAATTTTTGCCGAACACAGTTTTGGTCGCTGTTGACCAGATTCTTCAATGGGGCGATTTATACAGACTTCGAATGTTGTTTTTCGGACATAGAACTGGACGCCATCTCCAGAATCTTGACTTTTTCCGCCAAATCATCGACTCGTAGCGCTTCTCCAATAGATACTATCGTCAGAATTGGGATGCTGCATTTAGCATCATTAATAATATTCCCGATATTTTAGTCCGAGAGGAATAGGGTAATAAACTTCTCTGCCTAGCTGCCAGTCAAGGCTGCCTACCGGTCATTAAACGCTTAATAAGGATCGCCCAGTATAACATTAATCTCAGGCAGGAGCTACTGCGCAAGCCTTAGCGCTAGCCAAGAAGCTTAGACTATTAAACCCATCAGTCAATTGGAGAAGCCATCCTGGCTAGCCATGTCAGCATTGTCGAGTACTTATTGCAGCAAGAAGGCATTAAAAAGCATCTCTATTATCGTAGTACGAATGGTAAAAATGTCCTACATCTAGCATCTATGCAATGCAATCCCGCATTAAGTCGGCACAGATACTTCTATCCCTGAACACAAGCCACCAGAGTGCGCTGTCTACAAAGGATATGCAAGAGGCGTTACACATGGCGGAACGAATGTGTGATAAGGGGATGTGCGATCTGTTGACCGGATCCAAATAAATTTCGCTTAGTTAACAATGATCGAACAGCTTTGATTAAGGCGGTGATTATTGGATATCGGGGCTCATAGGGTTGACTCAATGGCAATAATGTAAGGGTATAAACCCCACATGGTAAAGGCCAAACAACGTTAGCCTTACATGCGAACTTTCTCTCATACAGAATCGTGGTAGTTAATTTTTGAAGAAATACTTTCGTTTGATAAGTACATGGTTTTGAGCGAAATGCAGTTACCGCTACAATCAAGAATTAGCGGACCGATGTGTGCAGGCTTGTTTGTGGTTTGGTCAGGAAAAGGGGTTTACGGAACGGACCTTGCGTCGTTTTTAAATGGTGCCAAGATGATATCCAAGAGTCGATCCATCTCGACGGACCTCAGAGAATAAACAACATTACCCTTGTTTTAGATTATATCAGTTTCGGTTGAACCTACGATCAAGCCTTTAACCTTCATGCTGCCGAAGCCCATCGCCCTACCTATAGCTCGTACTCAAGTGGTTGAGTCGACGTTGTTGTCCCGACTTTTACTCTTCTCCAGGCGAATATAAATGTGCGAATAACTCCCCATTCTCTTAGTAGTCAAAGATTGAAGAAAAAAGATAAACAATGAGGAATAAGAAGGCTATATATAACTACGTTGGAATGCGTTTTGCCCGCCTAGACTGTTGAAAAAAATAGTCATAGCCCGAAATAGCCCAGCGAAAACCGTCAACTCATTGTGTCATGCAGCGTTATTACCCATGAAACAAGGGACACATGTTGGCGCGCGCTTATTTTCAGCCCTACGGCTTGCGTGAGAATTGATTGCTTCATTATAGGTGCTGCTAGCTCGCTCTGCGTTTTGGAACAAAGATTGATACTGAATTTAGAGCTTTGATCATTTCGATTACATTTAATGATTTCTAAATATGGGAGCGGCAAGGTGGGGGTGTTAACACTGCGTTGAAGGACTAGGAAGAAAATGGTCTCGCCTTCAAGGAGACGCTGCATCAGCTTACATCCTCGCTGGCACCGACCGAGGTTGCTGGCTTGAGCGGGATTGTGCGAACGGTCGAGTCTTTTGTCGTTGTTCTGGATGGCGCCAATCATCGACACCGTTCACTGCGATACGCTGTGTCGTCACATCAGCAAGCATATTCAAACCAGATGCTCGTAGGGAGTGCGGTCCCCCAGGAAGTCGCCTGCATTATACTAAACTCGCCTGTAGGGACTGCACTTCGACCAAGAAAGGATCTGGATTGCACTTTTCCCTTGCCCACTTCCTTTTCCGACTTTGGCTGTTACAATTGATGGACCTAAGAGGTTGGTGTGTATGAATCTCCGCCAGCATCAAGTCTACCAAAATACATCGTCCACTGGACCGGTCATACAGGATATTGCGTGGTTCTGCATCACAATGTAGGACTCGGTACTGGTGAAGCCGACTGAGCGCCATCATGATTTGATCCATAACATTCGCCTTAACTTCGTTCATCTCTCGCAAAACGGGTCGACCGCCATAACTCATTAACAAACAATGCGCATATACGCCACTGTCGAAGTAGTACGGCTTCACTAGGTCAATCATACCTAAACAAACCGGCACGAAGGTGCCTTGAAGTGGCCGAACATGATCATACATCTTGTTTTCGTGTCGTAGACGTCTTGCATCCATTGTCTCCACGCCTTTAGCCACGAGCGTGTAGCCGCGTGATGACAAGCACAGCTTGAAGAGGGACCCTCGCGATCCAGAGATGCCAAGCGGTGTACAATCGGCATCATTCCCACGGTCAACTGTCAGTTGATCGCGCAAGAGGACAACAAAGCTCTGTCGGTCGATATGTGCCTTGCCATGAATGGCGATATTCGGGCACTTCTCATCTAAAGGGTCGCCAAAGGCAATTCCACGCAGACATTCGTGGGTGCAATATGGTCGATCCCGTATATTTTGTCGTTTGTCCGCATGTTCTTGTGTGTGTGACGGGCCTCCCTGCGACTGCGCTTCGCTCGAGCTCGTGCCTCTCGATTCGCCTAATGGACGACCGGTCGGATTCGGTGTTGGGGAAGGGCTGTCGTCATCTTCGTTATCGTCGTCGCTGGATAGAACCTTTTTATTTTCGAGAGGCAGGCATCGCGAACGCGTTCGGATCGGCGAGCGTGTGAAGCCTTTCCATCGTTGTGCTCTGTATGGTGTGTTGCGCTTTGCTTTGCGGAGCGTCGTAAGGATGCTTCTAAGCAAGTCATCGTACTCTACAGCCCATGCACCAAAGCTATCGGCGGCGTCGTACCACGCCTGGGATGGTAGTGGTAACCGAATAGCTTGAAGTACAAAGGCGTAGACTTGCGCCACAGCCGTCCGATGGAGTCGATTCTCGTCATCGTCTTCGACATCTAGACTCGGTATGCAAACAGAATAGTAGACGCAGGAAGGATCGCTTGGTATGTACAAGAAGATGTACGTCTCCCCTGTACAGACATAGCCATATTGCGTGCCCTTGCCAACCATACACGAGAAGAGTTGCGTTACTACGGCGGTAGTAAGCCTTCTAGCCTCGAATTCGAAACCCTCGCCCTCCTAATTGATCACATCACGGTCGGGTTGGATTTCTCCGACTAGTCCCGTAATGATCTCATCGCGACTCAGCTTATGGGGTGCTTTGTACTCAATCGCAACAGCTGGGAACCTCTGGCCGGCTGATGTTCGAGATATGTAGAACTGGTCTGCCCGGAGGCGAAGTTCATCCATCCTTATCGAAACGCAGGCTCCCTTATCCGCGGCTCTCCCTATTCTGTACCCCGCATTTGCTATCAGAGTCAGCTTCATCCTAGTCAGGCCCTCGCTTGCGAAATGTTCCCCCAGAATGATGAAGTTGAGCTTCACACAGTCAAGCCAAGTGCCCGTCCTTATTCACGAAAAGTGCGTTAATAATAACTCCCCAAGACCGCATCTAACATTTCATAGAGCCTAGTCGCTTCCCAGACCCAGGAACGTTCGGCATTGATCCAACAAACCTCCTGGAAACATGGCAACCCTCGCCAATCAGAGCCTCACTCAGAGTCTCAGGGTTATGAGAAACACTCGGCTTCTTACTCCCGATGCAGCGGTCGAGCGTCTCCCCAAACGGCTGTCATGAACGAGCAGAGCCCACACTTGAGGCGACTCCCTCATTGACCGCATTACTCAAGGAAAAGCTGTGCTTTCGATCCCTGCATAAGAAAGAGAACCCGAAAAAGGTTTGCAACAACAACAGACTCTCGGCTCTAGGACACTTCTCGTTGTTTCATTTGCCTGCTATAGTAATCACCCTGTTGCTGCTAGTTCTCTATGTACGACACCTCCGTTGAACACCTCCTCACCCAACAGGCGATGAACTAGGTGCTTTGCAATTCGCTGCAAAGGCACATGAAACCTTGATCCTGATATCTTTATCTGATATAATGCTTCATCGCATCCTATACGGGCTGCTCATAGACGACGGTATTCCGCTTGGGTTTTTGCCTTCGGTATTTAGCTTGGGTTCTCCGATACAATATTTGCTCAGTTGGGACTTTTGGTCGGCATTGCTCAACCCAACTGCGAATCGGAGATTTCACGGGTTAACTGTTGTCATGATCGTATTCATTCTCTTGCTCAGCATTATTGCTAGCCCGTTCTCGGCAACTGCTATGATTCCACGCCAAGGTTGGTGGGATGCAGATAATGATTTTTTCGGAGACTCGGCATCGCGAGATACACTACCAGTCTACTACATCTCAGGTAACCCTGCTAAGTTGAAGCTCGACTCACGGGATATGTTTCAAGGTGACAATACGTTCTGCGACCCAGAGATATCTAACTTCACTTGCTGGGAACCGACGTTAGATACAATTGTGCAGGCTCTCTTACCTATGTTCCGAGACGCCCCAATGATTCCTCTTCAGGAAAATATCACATATTCGGTCAACAGCATAGGGAGAAAAAACCGACCAATCTCACTATCGAATGCTGCTGAACACGCAGAAATAGCACTCACAACCTGTCCTATGACTTTTGTGGCCGATGCCTTTAGTCGCGAGTATTCCCTAACTGGGAGTTGGATAAACGGGTATAACAACATGCTTATCAAATCTAAGCAGAAGAATTCTTCGGGGACGAGGAAATGGAAACAGTCTCTCGTTGCCGTTCACTGCAACGAGACATGGGTAAACCGCAAAACGGCAACGTTCAACTTCGATACCGGTTTCTTGGACAATACGACATTGGAACTTGACCTTGAGAGTGACAGCAGGCTAAAAAACATGACTGAAGATACCGACCGACCTGGGCGTTCAAGATGCCATGTTTCTTGACCTCGAAAACAAGACCATCCGTCACTCGGTTAGCGCAGCTATTTTATTTGCCAACCGTGTGAGGAAGGATGGAATACAAGACAAGAGAGACACGAACGACGAGACCATTTTAGGACTGGGACTTTGCCTTGTTTCTCCCCGCTGGGTTGATGCCGAAGTCTGGGTAATCCGCCAGAATTCCGTGGTCGTGAACAGCAACTTGGGATTCACTAATGAAGATTTTTTAACCTATTTGCATGAAACATCTACAGCTAAAGATGTCATAAAAATGAGCGATGGATGGTTAAAAGGTGTTGGCCCTCTACTAAATGGCACCCAAGAGTCGCCATCCACGTCGATTTATGATGGTGCATCAGTTTTCTGCAGCCACAGCGCCATTGGATTCTTCTCTGGCTGCCTCGCGAATGCTCTCGCCGTATATCTCACAGACGCACTGGCACAGCCAACAAGACTACGAGCGTGGTATAATGATGGTTCTGGTGATCCATTACCTGACGAACAAGACACGATTATTCAGAGTACGCACTACAAGTATACGTATGCCTATGAGCTGAAGGGTAGCATTGCTATTCCCCTGGCTTTAACTGTGTTACTCCTCCACGTTTGCACGGCTCTGGTACACGTGGGAATAATCCTCCTCTCCCCTCGCTCTTCGCACGGCTCAAGCTGGAGAAGTTTTGGGCAGATGTTGGTTCTCGCATTACGCTCGCGAGTTGATGGCCTAGACAATGTCGGGGGAGTAGTGTCAAGCCCGCAGACGTGGAAGAGGACTACGACAGTGAGAGACGTTGGGGAAGGACGGTTGGAGATGATTGTAAATGTCAACGAGGGCGATGTTCAAGGGGATGCTGATGAGTCTCTTGGGGACAGAAATTCAGGCGCGTCCAGGCTGGAAAAGAGTATAACTAAGGAACGTGGGTTAGACGTGCACCTACTGTAACAGTTCGCCATGGCGCTGATACCATGGCATCCCGCCCGATGCGATACCATTCCGAAATCACGCACGATATCTGAGCTAGAGGAACAGATTGTTGTTCAGTTCATTCCCGATCTAGATTCGCGAGGTTTTCCCTCGCGACTGCGTGGTGTCGAAGAAATGGCCAACCGACTGCTCACCGACCGCGATGCGTTATCCGTTGGCAAGTGCTGGGCTTCCAGTTTTATTAATCAAAATTCAGAGCTCAAGACGTAAGCGCTGCGATAGCGCTTTTGTGGGTCAAGACGTCATCTATTGGTCAGAGCCGTCAACGAGTTCAGCGCGTTCAACGTGACCTATTGTGCTTGCATCTCTTTTTTAGGAGCAGTTCATGAATTATTCCTTTTTTCTTAATATGATCAGGCATTATGAGTACCTTGCAGTCGCTGTGGGAATCTGGGTACAGCTGGTCATCGTTCTTGATGTTGGGGAATTGGGGCACCGCAGATTGGTATTAATCCGAGGGGCTTCGGCTATTCCCGGACCGCGTTAGCCGGGACATGGGGACAGACACTCATGATACCATTGGAAGTCTTTGGCCCAAGCTGCGTCAGAAGCAGTACTATCGCCGGCTGATAACAAACCGTTTACTGTTGGTCCATCGTAGACTATACAGGCATAATGAGTATATTTTCAGGACACCAAGCACATCCTTCCAGCCAACCTACTATTTCGTGGAAGGACCTTGAAATCCAAGTTGGGGTGTTCCTCAATGAGATCGTCATAGTAATTATCAAGCTCAAGGCAGAGCACGTTCCCGCCCTTGTCACTAGGTTGCAGAGTCAAGAACGAAAACTCTCCTGCCATAGTCGAATCCAAGAATCTGCTTAAACGGAGTTCTCCAAGCGATTCTCGGAACTCATAGCAGACAGAACAACCCGATGTTGAGGCTTTGAGAAAGGACTGTAGAGAAGGGTGCTGAATATTGTAACGCGTTTCGGGATTCTGCACGCTAGATGTCGCTGTCTCATCTCCGAGGACCTGTCAGCCGCAGAATATTTTCTGGCAAGCTTTACAAAGCATTCCTAATCCAATTCCGTCTGCTATTGGCATCTTTTGCAGCAAGTTACCAAATAACCCGGTCTCTGTAGTGTCAGACAGCCCTACTGAGATTTCGAGCCAAGCTGTAGGAGGATCCAGTTGGGACAGTTAGAAGAGTATATTATAAGTGTAGGTCGACGAAACGCTGATTTGGCTGTCGCTAATGGTCCTTTGACCACGAAAACTGATAATTGCTTGACCGAGACACAGGTTACACCAGGAAGGATTGAGGGGATTTAGGTAGCGATTTGTTGAACAGGTGCTGGGTTGTCACATGCAATCAGGGGTCATCTAAGATTGCGCACATAAACAGTAAAGCCTCCAAGGAGGCAGAATTTAGACGCAACACAAGATGAATACACGAATCTACACTAATGAACCGAATCCACGTAATGTCTGACAGAAGACTACCCCAGATTATTGCCATCAAGCCCCTGACAAGGGCAGAGGCGGCGGGACGTTCGAAACCCAACCGGCGTGCACGGATAAAAAGGATGTAATTTCTTGAAAGTAATGACAACAGGGGGTTAGCGCACGGACGAAAAGCGTGTAATTTACCGAGTTTCAAGCAGTCCTTGGTACAGTAGGGCAGAAGTATTTTCTGGGTATCAGACCTGTCAATACAGTATAACAAAAATTGTCACTCAAACTTCGTTTTCTCCTAATTCTTCGGCCAAAACTCCGGCTCTCCATGTATTCTCCCACTTCAGCCACCGTTTTGCAAGAAAGCTTTTCAGCTTATCCCGAGACATGCCAAGCTCATTATCGGAAAACCATTCTTCTTTCTTTTGTATAATCGAATGGGCTAAACCATTCCTCTGCTGTAGATGCCAGGCCATGGCTGGATCTAGCTTGGTGGTCACCTCTTCGATGAGTAACGCCTGACTTGCGAACATCTGTGCTTCAACCTCACTGGTGGCCCGCTCTATCTCTGTCGGAGAAAGGGTCGCCAGAACACGGCATATATACATAATAGTATATAGAAAGAATACGCGAAGCCTGATGCGATCGGGTGACTCGGCTGCGACGGGAAGGCTGAAAAGTGACTGTGGGTGTGGTGTTGCATGTTGGTAGAAAACGTGCTCATTGTGCAGCGCCTTGTGCATACCTTTTGCTCGATCAAGAATAGCTGAACTTGCTACAAAGTACCCGAATTGATGTGTTGCATCTTCGAGAAGGTTCCGTAGATCCTTCAGCATACCCGGCAGGAAGCCTGTTATCCCAAAATACTTCCACCAGAGGCGGCAGTCCGAGTCCGATTGGAGATCAGAAGCACGTTGGAAGACACGTTGCCACTCTTGGGCCTCAAAGATCGACGATTCCTTCCTGTACATCTCGTCTATTATCTGTAAGGGTCTTAGCCGGGCTGGAAGGACGATATAGCGCAGGTGTAACCAACAATGGATGGACCTTGGCTTTTGAGAAGCATCCAGTCGAATTTGGATGTATAGCACTCAGGTCCTCGAAGTTCAACTAGTCTGATGCCACCCCTGTGATGATGGGCCAGGCGAGTTGTATCAGGAGGGCCGATTAACTGAACGACGGTACCGTTAAAACCATTCCTTGGTTGGACATAAGGGTGGCTCACCTCGTACAGTACCAAAAGCCGCGTTACGCAGTAGATGTCTGATACTGTGTATTCTGCACCGTCTGAAATGGCAATTTGTAGGCTCTTCAATGCCTTTCCATAGAGAATATAGGGCATAGACTTTGGCATCTGGAAGCCAAGCATTTGGCCCGCCCTTGCAGCAACACAATGCATAGCATCATCAAGGCAAGTGCTAGAGCCATAGCGGCTTGGCAGGTAGGCCAAAAAGGATGAATACTGTTTCTGGAGAAGGCTAACGAGGCGATTTGGCTCATCTCGCAGCAAGCGGTAAGCATTGGTGGCAAGATCCACATCGGTAAAACTGGTCAGATCTGTTATATCGAAATTGTAGCTAAGCCTGAATGTCTCATATCTACTGGACAAGGGCTGCGGCACAGATCCGAGATTTGAGACGTTACGCAGAGTATTTCCCTTGCACATGCCATGCCTATCCTTGGTAGGAGAAGTTACGCTTGGAGCCCTCGTTGCTGCGGGTATTAACTCCCGAGAATCCGGCAGCGTGGTGATATTTTCCTGGCGACGGATGAGACCTGATCTTGCAGCGTGCCGCCGGACGATGGTCTTTGCATTAGAAGCGCCGGTAGCATCCACAAACACAAAGGCCAGTTCGTCCTTCACGCGGCTTCGGGGCTTTCTGAGCGGCAACTTAGGTCGCATGGCTCGCGGCATAATAGTGCGAAGGCAGTATTATTGTTCAAGGCAAGACAAGAAACGCGGATTGATAGCCAATTGAATGACCAGATGGCATGGCTATGGCGCAGCAGGTATTGCAACAACAGCGCAGCGTTTGCCGCTTTAGGTGTATGCAGGGCTTGCGACGCTACTTATACATGGGAGTTTATCAAGGTAACAATAGGTTTTATGGCGCAGCATTTGCCGTTTTAGGCATATGCAGGGCTTACGCGCTATATACCCTGGAACTTTTTTAACGACAGTGCCCACCCTGGACATTTTCAGAGAGGCCATTCATACCCCCTGGCTGGATCCGCTTACTAGTTAGACTAAGTCTGGTCACAGCGGCACATTCTACGTTAATGTATCACACAGGCAATTAATAACGCCTAATTGGCTTATTGTCCTAGCGTGAATGCACCTTGACTATATACGCACATCTGCCTACTCCGTAGTTCTTACCGCCAAGACTGATCATACTGGGGCTTAGACGGGAACGCATTTATGACACAGCCCCAATCCTACTCAAAAATCCCTTTATAGACCTATTCCGGGTCAGCAGTTTCTCTCCTCTCTATCAAATGTCATTGCCCGGAAAGCATCAACTGATCAATGCTTGCCAGCTCTTACAAGCCCCAAACATATGTAGACGTGGCCGTCGCATTTTCCTCTTTGAGCGTGCAGTGCTACAAATATCTCTTGACACCTCTCTTAACGTCAGGGTTTCTTCTTGTCTCAGGTCAGACCCATTCTCAGGGCAAGAAGCATCAATCCACCAAAGACAATATTCTATGTCGTATTGCATTACTTTCCCCACAACACTTACAGAACGATGAGACAGCAATATGAATCGATATCAATGGAAAACTGGCCCTCTAGCAACCGTAGGTCACGACCCTCAGCTATTAGTTGCAAGTATCCTGAAATGGCCTATAAGCTGGAGGCTGCGTCTATCAAATATACCTCGGCTTGGTTCGAGGGCTGGGCGGGTACTATCCTCAGCTGGGCCTTGATCGTACTGCTCGCTCTCTTTCAAGTGGGCATTTTCGCCATAGGAATGGTTATGATCTACACGAGCCATGCTGGTATCGATGAGAGCAGTTCAGATTTCGCCCTTTACAAAAACTCCCGCTTCCGCGAATGCGCCAATACCTCACCTGAACAGGTGAATTGCACCTTACTACAGGGAAATGCGCTTAACGGGTATCGACCCCCCGCTCAGAACGATCCGCAGAATCACTTCTTGGTGTATATGACGTTTCGTGATTTTCAAGGGAACTCTTCTGAGCTTCCTACGTATACATGGTGCGAGATGGTCAGCTGCTTGAAGGATTTCAAGGTCCTTCCGACAGCATTACGCCCATCAGCTCTACAGCTCTCCAGTCTGAAGACATGGTTTCAATGCAACATCCAAGCTATTCTCGGAGCGTGGGCTGCTCGCACATGGATAGGCTCACAGTCGCGCCAGGCCCCCTCGGCATGCAAAGGGATGAGTTTCCTGGACTGGGCGCCGGCTGTCTACACCATCGGCTCTACTTTATACTGGTGGGCGGAATTCTTCCGGTGGTGTACCAGGCCGGACTATCACACCTCTGTCTCAGTCATTACGTGGATCTCTGTTTGGACGTTGGCGTATCGAGTGCGATATCATCCATTCTCTTGCAGATTCAAAAAGGACTCTTGTTATAGGAAAGCCCTAACTTGGATCCTATGGACTACAGCTGCTATCCAGTGGATTATAAGCTGTGTCCTCTTAAGGCGCAATTGGAGAGATCTTTTTCCTCCAAGACTCGACTTTGCAGAGAGATATGACTGCGTCAAGTCACAAGTGGCTTCTGCACCGGGACAGTCTCCCTGCAGTACAGACCAGCTCTGTTCGATTTCGTGGTTATTAACCAATCCCGGGTGGATAGGGTGGTCGTCAGATCAAACATCCGCGAATTTATTTGTCCAATACGATATAGCGAGCATCATGCTTGTGATTCTGTTCTCTTTCTCGACGGCTGCCTTTGTATCTACCCCATTGGCCACTACCATCACAAGGGGTTATGCTCTTCTCCATCCCGATCGGCGCGTCAAAAGAACCCTCTTGGGTGACTTGGCCTACATTGACAATAAACTATCGGGACCTGTCGGAGCAGGAGCAGTCGCTGCGCTCGTTTCTCTATGCATTGGCGCCCTCTTAATTGGCCACACCCCTGTAGCATGGGGTTCGCTCAACAGAGAAGGGTCTGTCGCCTACGATTTGGATTGTACTGCAGTTCATGTCATTGCCAGTCCATGGAGACAGTACATGGACATTGGGTATGGCCGTGCCTTGAGGATTATCCGGATGTGGTTTAATATTTGAGGCTGCAACAGAAGTTAAAATGGCTGTTAATAAGTTGCTGAATATGTGCTGGAAGAACTGGCGGTTCCCCACTCAACTTCAGGGTTCAAATTAAGGTTTGAAGTCCTGAACTTAGATCGTAGGGCTTTCATCTAGGACTTTTTAGATCTTATATCCTTGAGTGGTCTCTTCTAGGATTTGAGTCCTAGAAAGTCCTTCAAGTACAAGAGAGGAAGAAGGGGAGACAATAAACTTTTTCTACTTGAACATTTGACGGGAAGCCATTTGAAACTATACGGAAAGGATGATAACTGAAGAGGGATTCTATTCTGTCTTTTAATATGCTCTCACAAATCCAATCAACAAGTAGCAAAGTTTGCTTTTCCTTCGCCAAAGTAGCGTTCTGATTTACGGTCAACATTAGATGCGCATCAGAGTTGGTTTCAGCTCTTTTACACCACTTAAGACAGGTAAAGCTTAGGGTTGAGATAGGGTAGTATTAACTATCTAAGCTCTATTTGCCCAGTTGCTTTCTTCTACTATATAGTATAGGAGTAAATAGAAAGGTAAAAAGGATAGGAACTAAGAGAATAAGGGAAAAAAAGCTAATAAAAGAGAGATAAGAGATAAGGGGAAAAAGCCTATAAAAGAGAGATAGGAAATAAGGAAATAAGAAAAAGGAGAGAGAGGAAAGAGAGATAGCTATAGAGGAAAAAGGTAGGAAATAGGGAAATAAGAATAATATAAGAAAAAGGAAGGAAAGAGAGAAAGAGAATAAGTTAAGGAATTCTAGAAGGGTTCCAGCAAGAAGATGCTAACCCGGTGGGGGTATCCTTGCTAATAGAGGCCGCTGAAAAAGCCCTAGTCTTTGTAAGAGTAAGGCCTATAGAGGAGTCTAGCTGGGCAGCTGCCGCTGGACCTATAAGGTCCTGCAGCTTGTGGTAAGTTTTCGCTGTCTCTAGCTCCATTAGGCCTCCTGCAGAGATAATAATAGGCTGAAAAAAGGCCCCTAGAGACCTGTATTTACGCCGTTTTTCCTCTGCTGCCTCTCTAAGAGTCTCATAAGGGTCTTCCTTAGCTGAATCCTTAGAAATAGCAACAATCTGGATATCATAGTTATGACGGTTGTGATTCCCAAGGGATAAACTGGTCCATACTAGGTTTATGTTGGCAGATGCGTAGGGTATTATAATACTGAGCGTAGCGAAGTATTACGTTTCTTAATAGTAAATAGAGCGGGTAAGGCATATTCAGGTAAAGATATTTCATTAATAGCTGGTAAGCTAAGTTCTATCTAGTGCTAAGTGAATATATATATACCCAAGGGATCCTTAGGGGATCGCTTGGATTTGGGGATTGCAGTGATCCTGGATTACAGGTGCTCTTGGAGCGCGGTAATCCCGTGTAAGCGTGATCCACTTGTGATTGGTTTAGTGAACTCGGAAAGCGAGTTCACTATTGAGTGGGTTATATTGCATGAAATTTATGGAGTGCACGTGATGTAACCGCTAGGGTCATAATAAGAAAGGGTAAAGGGTAATATATTACCCTTAAAATTATATATACCACCTGATTAGGTACTGTAGTAATAGAAGTGTATAGTAAAAAACTAAATCACTAATAAGGAAATACTATATTTAACTGTGATTTTATAATAAGGTTATTAGCTTCTATAAGCTACTGCGCTAAAAGGCAGTCTTAGCTCCTATAAGAGTTATAGGTAGCTAAGTTAAGGTAACTTATAGAGGGTCTTTCAGGGGTTTATCTCCCTATTATAAGGGGGTTTTCTACCCCGTTATAGATTTACAGATAGCAGAATGCTATATCTGACTATAATCTAGAAAGAGTAAAAGGAGTTAAATTAGACTCTAAAATAAGAATACTACTTAATTAGGTATTTAATTAAGGAAAGTATTATAAGTTCTAAATTATTAACGAGGAAATGCTATACTTAACTGTAAATCACAGACGAGGAGATGTTATTCTAACTGTGAATTACTGACGAGGAAATGCTATATTTAATTATATTTTAGAAAAAAAGTCAGTAAAATAATTATAATATAAATTATTAATAAAGAAATATTATATTTACCTATAATTTAAAGAAGAAGGAAAGTAAATAAATCCTTTTAAAATTTACTAATAAGAAAATAATATAACTTTCTAATATTAAACTGGTTAATTGGGCATAAAGTGATATATATATAATAAATAGCTCTAGGGTAACTGACCTCGGAAAAGTTAAACCCTGGTCGCCAGTCCCGGGCGGGTTCACGCTGAACTACAATTGCAGGTGGGGTTGGGGTTAGCTCCGGCGTAAGCTGATTGGTTAGAAAAAGCAGGCGCACGGACTAAACCACCAATAAAAACTGTAGCTGGGACAGCTAACCCCAAGCTAACCCCAAGTGTTATAACCAGGTCATACATACCCCACTTTCTCATTTTTCCGCTTTAGTATTACCCACTTTCATATTCACTCTATACTAATTATAATAGGACCGAAAGCTTAACTCTCGGTCTCTAAATACTGTCCAATTAGATAAGGACTAAATAACTTTATATTAGTCCAGGATGTTACAATCCCAGCGGTTACGTCACGTGTACCCCACAGTTTTCCTCCAACCAACACTAAGCTCACTCATGCATGCGTGAAACCTACCCTGCAGCTCACCTCTGACATCGTGAGCCTTTCTCCAAGGCTCACCACTGTATAAGTGACCCTTCATGTATATATACACTCCTTTAGCACTAGATAGGCCTTAGCTCACCAGCTATTAATAAAACATCTTTACCTAAATACGCCTTACCTGCTCTATTCACTATTAAGAAATGTAACACTTCGCTATACTTAGTATTATAATGCCTTATGCATCTGCTAATATAAACCTTATATAGACTAGTTTATCCCTTTGGAATTATAACCATTACATCTTAATCTTATAATATAATATATAAAGCTGCTGCCTTTCCTATTAAATCCACTATAGGTCCTTCTGAGGGTTAAGGACGCCAGGGAGTTATAGGACTATATAGCTAGATATAGCTAGCGCTATACTGTCTTTAATTAAAGGTTATTAGCCTATAGAGATATATCTTAGCTCTATTATTATAAGATTATATAGGTCTTAAAATCCCCTGTTGAAAATACTATTGAAATTACTGTGGTTACAACGCATGAACATAGAGAGGGTCACGTGACTTTATTCCATTGACTATCGTATAAGAAAGCCTTCGCTTGGTTTTATTTAACTTCACACCAAACTCTCTCGCGCACACATGACTTTTTTTTATCACACAGACTCCGACTTTAACAGAGTTTCCCCAGTCAGGCCTCCGTGGCCACATTCATAGGAACGCTTATCGTCTTCACTAGGTGCAATTTAACGTTACGACTGTCGTGACAAGTATCCTCACCTCCATCAACTACATCAGATAGCTTGGATTGTCGAGGAATGTGGTCTCCGCGAGGTTACCCCTTAGTCGACGATAACGTACACCAAGCAGGTCCTCCTCCTCTATAACATCCTGAACATTATACAGAGGGATCCCAAGGGAAGGTAGACTCAGAAGTCTGCAGCTAAACATGGCTAGCGCTACCTTGTCTTTTGCTGTAGTCGGCCGGTTCTCGTTTATTGCGATATGCTTTAAGCCAGTCGCTAGGCTATATAGCCTGTTGAAGGTCCTCTTGCTTGCGCGGTCAAGGGCCTCGATGATCGGTTCGTGGCCGCGGCCTTGTCGGTCAAGGCAATCGTACAATTCGATGGTGCAACGCAACGTATTAGACATCTTGGCTATGATTAAGGTTAGCTTAGTACACCGTATGTGATAGTTAAACGCGGGATAACTTGCTTAATTGCTTGTTATCGTTTTAGCTAGTTGTCTTGTCGGACCAAGGTGAAGAAAGAACACTGCATTGTCGCGGATTTGTTATGCATTTATTCTGATATAGAGTTTTTGCTGAAATCTTATATTATAAAGCCTTGTGGTCTTACTGATATTTTTATTATTTACCTTTATTGTTGAAATCTTAGGTTTTTACTGGGAAAGTTGCTATAATCTAAATTTATATTGACTTTTTAAGACGGAACAGCACTAGCCACATCATAGGTCTTAAAATAAGGCTAGGCTAATATATAAGGCCCTAATAATCTTACTATATATATAGTTAAATTGCCTTATATAATGCCTAGCTATAGGGCTATATTTATAGTGTTAAATAGTATAGTAATATAGTTTTAATATTATAACTATAATCTAGCTTAGCTTAGTATATTAAATAGATAGTCAGGGGCAGGATAACATACCTTTTTACTACTATTCTTGCCTTTCTTTATATATTAGTAGTTCTTATTAAGTAAGGAAGAAGAAAGTATCCGCTATTATCTTATTATTTTATATAGCTTTATTCTAATATAGAGTTTTATTAAAATTTTATTTAAAAGTATAGCCTTATAGCCTTATAGCCTTATAATATTATTAAATTATTAGAAGTCTACTGTTTTAGACTATTTCTTTCTTTATGAAATAATGAAAAGTCTTAAAGATTTAAATAATGCTGCAGAGAAGCTCCGAGTAAACGGGAATAAAGTAAATATCATCTGGCTACCATTGAACGATGAGCAGGTTCGTCCAGTTTGCAAAGATGGTGATAACATGATGGCCGGAAGAAAGAAGTATAGCCAAAGAGCTACTGGATGACCTATGGCTCTATAAGGGCTTTCCGTGCGAGTCATGACGGCACTATCACAAGAACATTCGAACTGAACACCAATTTCTTCGTTTCTCATTGGAAGAGTGTGTCCATCGACAATAAATGGCTGCTATTTGCTATTTATAGTGTTTACTCTCCTCGTCATCCTGCAGTCGCCGTCTATTTGAAGGTACAACCGTCGTAGAATGCAGCCCTACAAAGGATGTTGGAATTCCCATATATACTGGAATATCCTCGCTGAGTTCAGGAAAATGCGTGAAGAAATCTGTTGACATCGTCCAGGCGTTGATGTCTCGAATGCGCTGCTCGAAAGGAGGCGATATATGGTACTTTCCTGTGTGCGCGTTGTGGTAAAACGTGTCTTGGAAGCTGTCGCTCCACAGGATTTTGAGATTGGTTTGGAGGAGCTCCCAGAATGAGTTGGCGCAGTATTGGTGTTGGCAGAAGATGAGGCGTTCGCGGAAGCCGGGCCTGGGAGGGGGTAAGTTATTGCCATTAAGGAAATCAGGCTGAATTCACCAGACAAAAAAGTCAATGCAGTAAGAGTGAGGTAGAGCTTGCGAGGGTCTGTTACTTGTTAGTCTTGGTTGTCGGAAAAAGAAAGACTGGTCGCACCTATTCCAATACCATCGCGGTAATGTCGCGCGCCGTTCTAATATTGGATCACCATGGTACATGATGAGGAGATGACATATCCTCATTGCCGCCAGACGCTCTGTATTTGCACAATTGCTGAAACACAACTCATCAGCTTTGCGCAACTTTCGCCACGTCGGCGTCATCTTCCCCGCCCTCTCAACGCTATCCCAGCCTTCCAAGATTGCCCGCACCGGCATATCCTCAGCATTGTACTCCTCGATAGCGATATCTACGGCAGATAGCTTTGTGGGCTTGACGAGGACTTCGTTGATGGCGCGCCAGATATTGGGCTTGACGTCGTGGAAGTTGGCTCCGCGGCTCGTGGGGCTCGAGCAGGGGCAGAGAACGGAGGCTTTGGGGATGATGACGTCGACTACTTCAGGGGGTGTGTGAATGTCGGGGAGGAGAGGCTGGATGGGGATGAAGCCGTTTCCCATCGGTGGGGGAATGGGGTTGTTGAAGAACATGGTGGTGGGATGTGGCTCGTTGCTGACGGTGTAGTTCCAGCCATCGTAGGTGAAGAGATTGGGCTGGGGAGGGTTTATGGAGAGCTCTAACATTGTTGAGCTGCTTGTTTCTGATGTCGATCTTGGGGTAATGATTGGGACTACCCGTTCGCCTGGTGTAGATTGTGTAGGGCTTGCGTGTTGTAATGGATTGGATTTTGTATCTGATCGAGGTTCGCTTGCGGTTGAGTCACCGAGATGACGATGAATTGTTGAGCCTAATGAGTCGAGAACCTGTAGTAAATTGTCTCTCTCCTTCGTAACCTTGCCTAATTCGTCCATTAGGGTGGCTATCTGTGCATTTGAGTGGTCCTGTCGTAGGTTGTTGACCATGCTCTCCAATTGAGCAACGCGGCTCTTTGCCCTCTCACGCGCCAACCTCTGGGCCTTGCGATCCAGTTCTCGCTTCTTGAGCCGGCGGGCTTCGGCGGTTGAGTTTTGAGTTCCACTGTACATTGTGATCGCCTCAGGGATTGACAATCTTCCGGGAACAACAGAAAAGGGAAGAGCGAACAGCAAGACTTTTAAACCCGGGTCAGGTCGCATTCCACAAGGGAGATGAGTTGGAGAAGGAGAGGGGAAAAAAACAAGGGATCGGTTTCAAGGAGGAATCTGGGGAAGCGCACACTGCCAGGGAAAACAAGGTTCGACGCTAAAGTGTCAAAAAGGAGCTGAAGGGGAAACGTCGAGATTGGAGAGGTAATGTAATCTGCTAGATGCCATGGGTTTCAAACCAGGCTGAGAACATGGCCTGCTCCGACTTTTTCGGCACTGGAGGGGATGATCATCGTTGCCCATTTCCTAGTGGCTTCTCGTTCAGCTCAATTGGGTTCACATATGTTTGAGATTCCGTTCTCTAATTGCTATGATCCTCAGGGCGCAACGTTTCGTCTGAATGGCTCGCAAATCTGTCCCAATTGATAAAGAGATATCTAGATCCCAGTAATAAGAAACACGCTTGGATCAGAAAGGGTGCTATGTTAGTTGTCGATCGCTGCATGACAGATTAGCGATTTCAGCTGCTTATGTCCGATGCTACACAAGTTGAGGCTAACTGGACACGGTTGATGATCGTATTGAACAAGATGGGGCAGGGACCCTGTGAGGGACACTATCAGGGGCGTAAGTGCTGAGACCGAGACTCATTCCCGTCCGTACTTGGTCGATAGATGAGATTAGATCTATGTCACCAAAAGCAGAGTAGAATGTCGTTTTGACACAAGCCAGGCTGTCATGGAATTCTGACCAATGCTAATGAATATTACATAGCATTTCCTCTTCTGATCCTCTACCGATACATCAGTCAATGGTCATCAACAAATGTCTCAATAATGACAGGTAGATGTCACGCAAATTAAATTACAACATACCTGAACAGCCCTAAGACAAGCTCCCATAGGCAGCCTAGCACCCCAGCCCAGGGTGATAGCGTGGACGTTCGGCCACAGGCTCGACCCGTTCCAGAGCCGGAGCCGGAGCCAGGGCCTGCAGCCGTAGTCTTGGCCTAACCTAAGTCAAAGCCCCGTGACTAACCACCCATGGATATCAAATACCCGAAGTTTTAGGCCCTATCCATAGCTTCACCGGAATACCCCTTGGGAACTTCCGCCAACGCCTTAATTTTTCACTTCACAGTACTAGACATTTCTCGATGAGGATTAGATAGGGCTGGTCATGGCATTATTCATGAGATAATTTGATAGGAAAGATAATATTTCCAGATCTGTGCCTTGGCATTTTGTGACAGCTGAATACAGTCCCGCGGGAGTTGGTATCACTCATTTTTGTTACAACAGGAGGCCCCCTTTTATCTTCCTACTTAAGTCCGACCTTGCCGGTTTTGCGGAGCCAAGCGCCCGCAATGAAAGCGCAAAGAATCATGAAGGAGAACATGGCCCAAAAGCTCGTCTCGTAACCCTGGAGAAGGGCTTCTTCAGCTGGCTTCGTTCCTACATGTTACTTAGTCTTAGTAACAAGGGTAGTGACAACCTGGATGATCGCCAAACCAATTGCATTTCCAAATTGCGACGTGGCGTTGAAAACTGATCCAGCCACAGCGTGAATTTCTGTAACAACTATGAGACCCGTTGTGAGAGCATGTATATGGAGAAGGGGATGAGAACCTGAACAGAGAAAGCTGCAGTCCAGTAGGTCCAGTATGGATCAATGGGAGCCATGAGCAGAGGCGAGATTGCTGTGAGGACAGAGGTGATAACAACAAGCCATATAGCAGGGATCTTGTGGTCAGTCGTGAAGTTATTAGTGGTCGCGGACCAGAGCCCCACTGAGAATGGGTCTGATCAATAATGCCAAGATCCATTAGGTCGTAACGACAGAGCCTCGTCTCCTCGGACCCGGTGCCACATCAGATTATGCCTCTTGAGACATAACGAACGTATAGAGATGGCCCTGCACACTTGCAGCTAACCACCCCAGCCGGACTGAGACAATGTGTAATACGGCTGGCAAAGTGTACGGCTATTTTAGCATGGCCACAGTTTTGAGGATCAGGCAGCAATAGGCCAATGAGCCTTCGGCTATGTTGGTTGAGAAAATGCCGCATCTTGCCGGTTATATCCGCCTTGGCTGCCACCGTACATGAAGAAGCTCATCGGTTATCATAATGCATGAATACAGTATGGAAATCATTGGAAACGGGATTCTGCGTGTCTTAGACTTCCTTGACTCTCTTTTGTTGGGGGGAGTTCTCGCAGTTGTGTAAGCCACATCAGGGCCTGTGTCTATAATAGGCAGTGATAGACTAAATCAGGCCATGGTTGCATTACCTGACCCCGTAGGCTGGCGTAGATCCCATTGATTGGCAGGGTGACACGATCCAGGGGGTAGTCAAAAGTGGTGGCGTAAATGCGGTGGCGCAAATGTGGTACGACTTTGTACCACCTCTTCCGGGTTAGTGGATATGTCTTATCTCTTGCTGGGTCATGTCAATAATAATGACACTACCATTGGAGCCATAGAAATGTAATGAAGTCGGGACAAATACAGACGAACCAGTAGCATTCAAGTAGGCATGAGCATGGCAACACTTGAATCTTACAAGGCACGGCTGAAAGATTTGGAAAGTGATCATCGGCAGTTGTCAGTGGTCGAGAACAAACCTCATGGCAATCTGAATTCCCATATGCGGTACTACTATACTGCTAGCTCAGTCCATCACACATCATGCATACCCATAACACGTACACCATGCTTTATTGTGATTGAATCACGCGTAGGAGGGGTGTACTCTCGTTGTCTCTTGTCTCCTTTTCTCTTGATGAATTCGATATCTTGTGCATCATCAGCTCACTCAGATGAAGAACTACCCGCTAATCCCAATATAGTAATTCACACTTGCTGTTTCAACACCTCCACTCTCTGGCGATTAACATTAACTTAGTGTCGCAGGCCGGGCATAGTCTCAATGATCCTCAGGAATAACAGCCCTTAGTTTCCTATTAAAATCGCTATCAACATGCTGAGAGATATATAAAGTGTAAAGTCCTAGCGCTAGGGATGGCCATTTTGCAGCGGAAAGATATTTTACAAAATGGTCTGAGATTTCTGCATTAGCTGATTCATGAATCCTTCTGTTTCTCTCTCGCTAATTCTGGATCTGTAATGTGAGCCATAGCGAACTGATTCTCCATTATTATAGTCCTTTGCGCCGGTTCAACGATGCCTGTTCAGCCAACTGTATATCCCCCACTCCACGTGGACAGGGCTGATTGTGCCGGCGGCTATAGTAGAAGTATTGAGACTCTTTATGGGAGAGCGGCAGACAATCTAGACCAAACCTCAGAAGGTTAAAGGGTTAGAGATGGTAAAAAAGGATAAAGCCAGACTCTGAGATGGGAATTCGCATGCCCGGTGGGGCCGACCGAGCAGTCTTACAAATGCAGGTAGTACGCGCGATTATCAAGACGCCGCTTCGAACCTTCCGTGTGGGCATGTAACCCTCCGCCTTACAGGAACAAGTAAGACAGGAGGCGGGCTCTCATAGCACCGCAAAGCCCGCCTCCTCTAACTCCTTGCTCTTCGAGAGCATCGGCCACCCCTGCGAAGTAAATGGCCAAAATAACGGGTCCTCCATGCTCTCTGCCGTCTTTCCGACCTGGCGCGACGTTCTTTCTTCCACATCGTCCTCGGCAGCCATGGTGGGCGCAACTAAATCGAGCTTGCTAACGAGCGGCCTAATGAGCCTCTCGTACTCCTCCGTGTTCAAAGCAGCGCCTGTGTCAATATCGACGGAAATGCTCCATTTCTTGGCTAGATAGCGGAGAATGTGAGGGGCTTGTTCGGTAATGTGGTGACAGGACGTCATTTCCGCGAGGCAGGCGATGCCCTGCTGGATGGCCTCGGAGACGTGAGGGTCGGCCTTTGCTGCTGCGTCCATGTCGTTCGCCTGCATCGTCACGGCCATGATAGTAAGGTGCGCAATAGTCGAGGTCAGCGCAAAATATGGCATGAAGGACGGCGCCCTCTTCAGCGTATATAGCTGCGCGTAGGATTTGAGAAGACCCTGGATGGCACTTGCAGCCTGTAAGCAGACGTCTCGCGGAGACACCCGCGACCCGATGATGGATAAATTAGTCAAGGGTTGGAAGAGCTGCATGATCGCAAAGTGGTAGTACATGCTATATTAACGATCATTAGTTAAAGCTGCCATAACGAGGCATATTCTCTTACTGAACGAACAACACTGCCGGGGTGAAGTTGTGGCCGAGCCGCAGGGCTTCGGGTACTTTGTCGTACCAGTTAAGGTACTCTGTGTAGATGCTCAGCAGACCCCGTGCGGTCAGGGGCTTTCCAACAGAGTGCATAAGATACAGAGACTGGTGGACCAATTCGCTCAGCTCGCAGAAACACTTGTGCACTGACCGCTCGTTGGATGACTGCTCACATTGTAGTTGAATTGGCGTACCTAGGTCGAATGAGCAGGCTGCTGGAATTTTTATCGTCTCTTACGCCGGCAGCTTACCATCGTCTGTGTCAAGAGCCCAGGGTGACGCCTCGATGCCTTCCATGTTAATAGGCTTAGATGGCAGGTGTGGGAGATAGGAACAATGCGGCAACGAGCCGGTCGCCAGAGAATGCGCACTAAGTAAATATATCTTGTTAGCCTCGTGGTTACTCATTACTCCTATTCCAGCATCACTTACTGATCCAGTAAAAATGCGCCCCAGAAAGTGGCCAGCTGAACGGCAAGTTCATCTTTGTCTCCCTCATCGTGGGTATGATGCAGGCCCATATCGAAAGCTAGTTGTAAGCTTTGTCCCGCGTAGTACCGACTCTCTGAGCTCCGACCGCAGCTAGCTTCTCGAATTGACATTATCCCCAAGGCTTGAATTGTCGTTAACGAGTAGTGATCCGTCTCCTGTTCAAAGAGCCGCTGTGACTCCGTGAAGAAATGGCCGCCCGCAGAGTGTGAGTCTTCACAGTTAGCCCTGGTCACGGGGTAGATGGAAAAGCAGCAGCCAAGGGCAAGCAAGGCGTTGACTAGTAAAGGTGAACAGTATCTGTGTCTACCGTCCCGGAAATCTCGGAGGAAATGCTCTTTGCTAAGCGGTGCAAATGCTGGATACTCCCAGTAAAAATACAAAGCAAGCAGATGCAGTATCCAGTCGATGTCGTTAGTAATGGTGGTCCATGTCCCAATGAAATCCTTCAACTCTGGTTCGTCTAAAGTAAGGGGAGCTTGATCCAGCCCGTGGGTTCGGGGTAAGCCATCAGGCATGTGGTCAGCCTGCATGCTTTCGGCCCGGGATGCAATCTGAGACTGCGACGACCTTTGACGACCTTCCGCAGAGCTCATAGCTTTTGCATGGCAATTGCCCCTCGTGGACATGGTCTGGCCTTGTGTCGAGAACTGCCGCGGGCTACGCTGCCCTATATCGCTCCACAAGGTAGATTGCCAGGTGACGACGGTACTTGCGTTCTTGGGTTCCATCCCTAAGGGAGGAAATATGTCTCCCGACGCTCCGTCTGCAGACGCTGAGGCAGAAGCGTCGCCGATGTTGGCATCGTGGCCGCCTCGCGGGTCAACGGCTGGCAACCCACCGCCTCCTAAGGGCAGCACCCCGTCAAGCCATTCGGATATGTTTTCGACGGCCTGGCCATTATAGAGTCGTGTCTCTGGTGTCGATGCCAGCTGTAGTTGAAGGTCGCCGTTATTTATCTGCCGCCTAATTGTGGTTACGTCGGCGCCCTCGCGAAGTCTGCGGACGATGTCATGGGACTCTCGCTCCGGCAGGCATCTCAGAAGGTGCCAGAGTTGTTCATAGATGTTGACCTTGCCTTGTATCTCATCGTACTTGCGCTTCAGGATTCGCAGATCTTGATATGAAGCCTGATAATGACACTCGAGACCTTTGTTGATGCAAGCCGTGCATTTCGGACGTTCACCAAAACACTGCGTGGGAGAGATGAGGGATTAGCGGGCCTGAGACTCGGCAAAAGAAAATGAACATAACCAGCTTCGCACGTACTTTGCCCTTTCGTTTCCGGCACGGTTCGCACGCGATTTTTGTCACGTTGGCTCGAGAGCGATGGCGAGGGTGAAGTCGCGGTGATGGTCCCCAACCGGAGCCAGTGCTAGTACCCCCAGCATCTGAAACAGGAGCTGGTGAAGCTGGTAAAAGTTTACGAAGCCCAGGGACACCCAAAGGCAATCCGTTGTCGCTAAGAGGTGGATGAGAACGTGAGGACATTTGTTAGCATATGGCACCATTGAGCGCCAAAGGGGACTGGGGAGCCAGTAAATTAAGTCGGTAATGACGAGGGACATAGGAACGACATTAGCGGGAGTTCGCCGATATTATTCGTGAGCGACGGGCACGATGCTCGGAGTCCGCGACACAGTGTACCGTAAAGTTTCCACATGCTTGTAATAGACTCCAGACCACCATAATTCTCCGGGAAAACCAGCATGTCCCCTCATTGAGATCTTTCAAGCCACTATGCATTGATACTAGCCAAAGGTCTTTGCATTCCCTCCATCGTTCTTGATAAGCCTAATCCCCAAGTCCATAAAGCTGAGCGATTAATCCCTGAGCAACTGTGACGCAGGGCATGCGCCTCCTTCAGCGCCTCCCGCCGGACCGGGGAGACCGTAGACAGCAGTCCGGTTCCCCGTTTACCACCACCGCCAAGGAGATACAATCCGCCGCTTAACACCATGGCCCCCGCGCCCCGGTTCCGCCGTTGTCTCGGCTGATCCAATCGCAGCCTGAGTGTAACAGCAACACGAAGCCCGATTCTGTCCTTGGTGGCCATGCATTTTTACTGGCTACTCAGTAACGTGTCTCTAGCGCTGAAACATGCGCGGGTGGCCAACCCGCGACTGATAGTTACCTGGTTGGTTCTGCCAGGACTCATATGCTTGTCGCAAGGATTGAGTCCTGCATGTTAAAGTATAAGCAATTATGAAAATCTTCAGCTATTAATGACCAGATGCATGACTCATTCCAATTGTCTGAGGTCTTGGTGCTCTGTCATAGTGTGGGGAATTTCTAGCCAATCGGATTGCGCACCTGCGGAAGCCGCTCAAAGGTTCCCCTAAGGTTAATCTCCCACACAGAATAAAATTTCATGTGTATTTCCTGAGCCGTCATAAGGCTCTCTTCCGTACTTTGCTCCATTTAACCCCCCACATATCGTTTTTGCCTAAGCAAGAGTTAATAACTTAGTTACCTCCCTGTAACAGGCCGACTTCAAGTACTACTAAGATCAGTATAATAACTATTCAGCGGACATGTATCAGTTATCACATAACTACAACACTTTCAGCATGATATATACAGATCAGCCAGTACCGGTGAGTTATTATACTCTGACTAATTATCTCCTGCGAGCTCATATGCGTCCCAAGCAGGGTCACGATGAGGAGCCGTAACCAATCAAAATGCACCGAGCAGAGAGTACATTAACTGCCGTCTAACTTCTGCCGTAACAAAAGTACCCACGGGTCTCATTGTTACAAATCACTACATCACAAAATCACGCAACTATACTAAGTTTCCTGCTACGATGTAACGGTTATACCTAACTACTATGCTAAGGGGTAAAGGATTGGCTAATAACTGCTATTGTAGCAGTTACAGTGGTATATACAGCTGCTTATAGAAGCCTTACAGCGATGTTATAGTGTAACTAATTGTAACACATAATGCCTACTGCTTGTATTGTTAAACTGATGAAGACGAGTACATGATACCGCACTTCGTTTTGACCAATTGAAGCTCAGAACTGGAAAGGAAGAGTGACCTGATCGGATATAGCTTAAATAGGCATAGCGCAGCTCTATAGCAGAAAAGCGGGGTTAGAAAAGGCATGGAGATATTATCAGGTAAATCAATCAATTTATCACTAAAAATTACAGGCCCCTGCGGCTTTAACATGTATTACCGCTAATTTTACTAAATGCGTGTTTTTTAGGCCTTTTGCCTCAATTCGCCTTTGCTAAAAGCCTAAGCAGATTAGGCACTCTAATTTATAGCTATAATAGATACAACTAATATTCATATATATGTGTTTTTGCTGTATTTTAAGCATCTTTTTATCTTCTTCTTGTGACGGTTGGGTTTTCCGAGGGATAAACTAGTCCGTTCTGAGTTTATATTGCCAGAGTAGTAGGATAGAATACTGAGCGTAACGAAGTGTTTTATCTCATAATAGTAAATAGAGGAGGTTTGTTACGACCCAACGGATAGCTTAGTCACCCCATATATACCCCTACATTTTTCACCAATTACCTATTATAACTAATCGATATAATTAGTACTAAGATCCTATGCTTAGCAGTAATCTAATATAATCAGTACTAATCCTCTTAGCTTAGCACTAATCCTGTAATAACCTTACTAATTAACTAAGAATGCCTAAGTATATATATATTTATTTAGCAATAATTAATATACTTAGCTTAATAGGTATTAATAAAATATCTTTACCTAAATATACCTAATCTACTCTATTTACTATTAAGAGATATAATACTTTCCTATACTTAATACTCTATTTTACTATGTGACAGTTGTGATTCCCAAGGGATAAACTAGTCTATACTAGGTTTATGTTGGCAGATATATAGGGCATTGTAATACTGAGCGTAGCAAAGTGTTATATTTCTTAATAGTAAATAGAGCGGGTAAGGTATATTTAGGTAAAGATGTTTTATTAATAGCTAGTAAGCTAAGTCCTATCTAGTGCTAAAGGATTATATATATATATATATAAAGGGTTACTTATATAGTAGTAAGCCTTAAAGAATAGCTTATAATATCAGAGGTAAGCTATAGGGTAAGTATTATATATATATAAGTAAGCTTATTAAGGCTTACTCTAGTGTAAGTAAGATTAGTATTAATTAGAGGAAAATTATAGGGTATATATAATATAACTGCTAGGATTATAATATAATCTCTCCCCTCTATTAAGTCTTATCCTTAAGGCCTATATAACTTATTCCTTCTAATAATAGTTTCTTAATAAGTTTAACTTAAACTTATATCCTTTATTATATTAGGATATCCTGCTAAATAGAAAGTAAATTCTTTTAATAATATATTAGTAACTTCTATAGAGATATATTATAAAGCTACTAAAGGTATTATATAGTTTAGTTTTAAAGTTATGCCTTATTCTTATTATTTAAAGTATAGTATTGCATATAAAATAATTATAGGAAAGAAAAAGTATAGTTTATATATATTACTTAATTATCCTTGCAATATAACCAGTATACCTTTAAACTCTTATAGGTTTATATATTTTTATATTTTTTATTAGGGTATAGCTAATAGAATAATTACCTATATTATTAATAAAGTAAAGTGTCTTAAGGAGCAAGAGGCTACTGCTAAGGAGCTTCTATCTTCTTATTATAAAGCACTTCGGGTTATGCAGAGAGAGTTAAATAAGTCTCTTTCTTAACTAGAGTCTTATTATAAGCGAAAGAAAGAGCTAGTATCTCGTGGTATAGAAATAACTTATTATAGTCTGGATTTATTAGATAAACTTAAAGAGGATAAGAAAGCTAAGTCTTCTATAGAGCAGCTAATTATTAAGGATATTTATTCGCTAATACACTTAGATATGCTTGATTTTAGTTTCTTTAATTTTTCTAGTATTAATAGAAGTTCTTTAAGAGCTATTAGGCATTAATAAGGTTTTCTAGTAATTCCTATATATTCTTATTCTATAAGTAGTTTTTCTATTTAATTAAATATATTATTTACTTATTAATTTTCTTTATATCTTTAATTATTTCTGCTTTATAGACCTCTAGTCCTTTAATATCTTCTGGTTTATTACCTACTTTAATTTATATTATATTAGCTGCTAATTTAAGTAAGGAGATATAAAAGATTAAATAGAGCTTAACTTTTAGTAATAGGTTTAGTTTATAGTTATTTTCTGAGATTTTCTTTATAGTTTTATATAGTCTAATATATTTATAATCTAATTTATATAAGGGTTATTTTATTATAATGTTTTTTATAGCTAGGTAAATAATCTCTCCCTCCTTAAAGGTTAGTCCTCTGACTTTCTTAGCGTTATAGTATTTTTTTATTCTTTTTCTAATAAATTCTAGTTCTATTTTTATTTCTTTATATAGATTTTTCAGTTTATCTGCTTTTAGGATTATAGCAGGGTTAATTATCTCTGTTTTGCAATTATTATAATAAGCGTTAGGGTGTAACAGTTGGGTTTTCCAAGGGATAAACTAATCCATTCTAAGTTTATATTAGCAGAGTTATAGGGCATATAGTATTAAGCGATTGCAAAGTATTATATCTCTTAATAGTAAATAAAGCAGGTTAAGCGTATTCAGGTAAAAACATTTTATTAATAGCTAGTAAGCTAAGTTCTATCTAGTGCTAAATAAATATATATATACTTAGGTGTTTCTTAGGCAATTAGTGAGGTTATTATAGGATTAGTGTTAAGCGTGGAGTCTTGGCACTGATTATATTAAATAATTATAGTAGGTGATTAGAGAAAAAGGTAGGGCATATGCAGGGTAATTAAGCTATCCGTTAAATCGTAATATAATCTCTCCCCTCTCTAAGTCTTATCCTTAAGGCCTAGTTTATAATATTCTTTATTATTAGTTAATCCTAGTAAGCTAACTTAAACCTATAATCTTATTCCTAAGATATCTGCTAATTATATAGTAAAAGTAAAAAAGAAATCTACTGAAAACTATTATACCCTTTTAACCACTATTTCATCATTTAGTATTAGAATTATACCTTATTTAGACTGCATAAGTTATAGTCTAACTAATTAATATATTCTTAATCCTAAGAAGTCTAACTATTATAAGCCTTATATAAAGGCTAGTTACTCTTATAATAGTTATAATTTATTATTATCGGCAGGTAAGTGATTTTTTATAGTTTTAGTGATTTATATATTAAATAATATTAGCTTGCAAACTTGCCGATAAGAAACGTTAATTAAAGCGAGATAAGGAGGCTATTAAAGAGGAATTAATTTATCTCTAAGCTAAGTCTTCTTATATTTATAATAAAATAAATGCTTAATTCTTAAGGATTACTTATTTAAGGCAATAACGTTATTAGGTTAAAGTAAAAGGTATAGATATAATTTAGCATAGTTTGAATTTAATAGATAAGCTAGAAAAGGCAGAGAAGGATAAAGAGTCTATATTAGAGTTAGCTAAGTTAAATAGTACTTTTTATAA